CGACACTCTTCCATCTTCCAGCTCAAGAACATAATAGCAATAAAAACTAAACAAGAAGGAAGAAATAAAGCTAATAAAAAAAAAAAAGAGTTTCAACTCGATGATTAGCTATTCTGTAACTTAAATGTGATGAATAATGTCCATAGACTTTCATTTGCGTAAATTTGCTATTTAAATATGTCTCCGCTGTAAAACGGCTGTGTCTAATGAACAAACAAGTTTCACTGCGGCAACGCGCTATATGAAGTGAACTGTACCTTGTAGTACCTTGTAGTTTCAATGCCGCTGGGAAAACGGGAGAGGGGAACCGGCCGCAACCGGTTTATCGGCACCTCTGGCGGCTGTCTGGCGGAGGTACGCTCGCCTGGGAGACATTCAAGGTCGTCGCCAGGCGTTGATTGATGGTTTATACTTAGAAAGCACTAACCTGGGTTGTGTTCGATGGCACAATCTAGAAGGCTAATATTTGTTTCTGTTCAACAACTGCATTTTTTACATTTTGTAGTTGGAAACTATTGTTTGCATTGAAATACTTTTTTTATGTACATAATTCCATAGTTCCCCTTTAAATTCTTTTGGGTGATTTTTCTCTTGCTATCGATTACTAAAGAATTGTTATCTGCGTTACTTAGTGTGGTGGTGTAATGGTTCATGTCTGGTGGTGTTACGGTTGATGCCTGGTGGTGTTACGGGTGATGCCTGGTGGTGTTACGGTTGATGCCTGGTGGTGTTACGGTTGATGCCTGGTGGTGTTACGGTTGATGGCTGGTGGTGTTACGGTTAACGCCAGCCCTAGGTGTATTTCAGGCCTGATAGTGACAGCTGGGCAAACGTCGTTGATATAAATTAACGCTGATAATGTTGGTCCTACGATGATTTACCCTTGATCATATTTTGTTACATTGATGATTCAGTTTTGTTTTATTGATGATCCTACGTTGATATAACGTTGATATTACGTTGTTAAAATGGTGATCCTATATTATTTAACGTTGATCCTTCATTGAGATTACATTCATAATATGTTGAATATTTAACGTTGATCGTACGTTGAAATAACGTTGATCCTATGTTGATTATTTAACGCTTATCCTACGTTGAAATGACACTAATCCTATATTATTTAAAGTTGATCCATAGTTATTTAACGTTGCTTTGTTAACACTGATATGTTATTTAACGTTGATCATATGTTGATTTATCATTAATCCTACGATGAATTAAAGTTGCTTGAGTTCCTTGTCTCAACGATCGATCACGTTTCTCCATATATATATATATATATATATATATATATATATATATATATATATATATATATATATATATATATATATATATATATATACATACATATATATATATATATACATATATATATTAGTATATTTTGGTAGCAGTCTTTCCTGTAGACATATATTATTAAATATGACCGAAAAAGTAAGATTAATAATTCTAACACGAATTTTCTCAATCTTTCGTACATTTCTTTTCACTGTTTTTGATTTACCTCCAACAGTGAAAAGAAATGTACGAAAGATTGAGAAAATTCGTGTTAGAATTATTAATCTTACTTTTTCGGTCATATTTAATAATACATATACATATATATATATATATATATATATATATATATATATATATATATATATATATATATATATATATATATATATATATATATATATATATATATATATATATATATATATATATATATATATATTACATTACCTAATTTTTCAGTAATCAGAAAATATTTCGGTTATCGCCAAAAATACAATAGGGTTCCTGTCAGGGCTCGATGAGGGTGGTTTGTATGTAAACATTCGAGAAGCGTAGAAATACTGGGCGCGTTGAGATACAAATCCACATAACTGTCTCTTATAAAACCGGATATAGTTCGTTAATTTATGTTGGGCTATGTTATTCGTGGTTAGGATGGGTTGTATTAGGTGTGATAAGTTTTAATAAATAAAAGGTACCGTTGGTAAATCGTTTTATGTACGAAATGACCTGCTTATTTTTCTTTTATTAAGGTACGATAATCTTCACTAAAAATAATCTGGGGACGGGAGCAGCTTTGGGAAAAAAATCCCCGTGCCCAGTGTACTTTCTCCGAGTGCATACGTAGATGTTCCAGTTATGGGTGCAGTACAAGCTGGAGCGAGTCTATACTGCCCTGCTTATTTTAGGTCAGATGAGACCGTATTCATGACCTCCAAATATGGATTGCAAGTATACCTGAGAATTGTTAGAAAATAGTGGACGAATTGCTGCGGAGCATATTAATGCCATTCAACTCTTCAGAAATGGAAGTACCAGAAATTAGTAAGCCAGCAGTGGCGTGCGGTACTGGATATCTTACTGTGATCATTATGAACGACGTGGGATGGTAATACACATATTTTCTATGTATTAATTCACATAGACACTCTCTAAGCCAGTAAGCTGAGTTAGGAGGGCATTCACACTCAAAGGTGTAGCTTTCAGCGTAGATACACTAAGACTTTAACACAGGAGTTGGAGGTTAGGAAAAAGGATGATTGCGGTAGTGGACAAGCCTTCATTATCTTGGCAATCGATATCCCATATACCTTGAAACCTAAACTGAGTTGTCTTATAATAATGATTCGTAATGTTGACATGCAATCGATTCGTGTGTAGGCGAGTGGAATGTCTTGGTCACTCGGACACGTCCGCTGCTGGGAGGTTGATGACTAGGCTACACATGGCCGACCGGATTTATTGCGAATAACAATTCCCTAGCAAACCGCATTCGTTACTAATGAACAATTTCCTAATACACAACTAAATGTATATTAATTGAGACAAAGAAACTTTTAATCTTGTATCTCAGCCACATACAAACTAACAGTCACAAACATAGAGCGTTCGGATTTCACGGATCCGGATTCGATTCCCGGCCTAGACAAAAACTTATGGGTAGAGTTTTTTCTCCAAATGCATCTGTTCATCTAGTGGTAAATGGAGTTAGTCAGGTGTCGCGGGCTGCATCCTGGGAACGTGTGAGAAATAAATATATATGTAGTAGATATGATAGAGGAAAACGGGTTGGAAGACAGTAAATTAGACAACAGACGGTTAGAAAGGCGGAGTCAAAGAGCTAACAGCTCGATCCCACAGACACAAGTAGTCAATACACACAGCCACAGAGGCGCTAGTGCTACGTAAACACGGTGATGGGAGCTCGGGTAGTGAGGTGCAAATTAGCACAAACAGCATTAAGGGTGTTGGTGAATGCAGGAAACACCTTGAAAACTAAAAAGTGTGTGTGTGGGGTGGGGGGGGGGGGGAGACCGGTTACAATCTCAAAATGGGTAAGCAATGATGAGGCTACCCAGTGCCAAGTAACGATCGGTAGAACCCTTTAACAATCGGGAGAGGGAAGAAGAGTACCATCACTAGAAACTAGACAAAACTGCGATCACTAGAGACTCTACAACACGGAATGGCTCACTCCCTGGATGTGAGCCATTTACATCCTTTGCTAAGACAGCTTAGGGAAGCGTCTTGAAGGTATACCTGAAGGCTGTCGACTCTTTAAGCTGTAACACATTGTTTCATAAGTCGGCGACCTTCAGGTGCCTTCAAGACGTCTTCTTTAGCTGTCTGAGTCAAAGGCCAAATTAGCAAAGTTTGAAGGGAATAATAGCTAATTTCTATACTTCGGAGGCATAAGTAATCAGAAACTTACACTTACTATCTAGGAACAAAACGTTCTTACATAATGTAATTGAAAAGTTAAAGATTTAAAGAAAAGATATTACAGACAATCGGAATACGGCCAATATGGTACTAAGGTTCAAATGCAATATATTAATAATAACTCTAAATGTTATCTTTATGTTTTATATCTTCCCTTGTGTGCCCTCCTTGGGTTATACAGCACAGTTCTGGGACTCATACTATAGAATTACAGTACTGGGTGACGTATGATCAAATGTATCCACGCATAAGGATGCGAAGAGAGACTAAGCAAACTCGTAGAGCAAGAGGGGACATGTCTTAATTTTATACAGATGAAAGGGTTTAACTTGCAGGATCTTAAATAAATAGGGTTTTAAGTTAAAATATATAATAATAGATTCTAATCAAATAAACTGAGATTTAGATAAAAAAAAGTAAAACTGTACTTCAGGAATGGGGATTCATCTGTGGAACAAGTTACCAAGTAACATTATATAGTCGAAATCGCTGAAATCTACCATGCATAGCTTCGTAAGTACATGAATCGGAGTATTTGGGAAGAATACGGGAGCTGCCGCTCACGGACTAATAGGCTATCTGCCGATATCCTTTTTCTTATGTTCTTATGACTGATGTCTGTGAATGACAGTGGGCGGGGAGCTGGTGAGAGAGGTGTTTCTAGTCAACTTATTGTGGGTGAAGGGCAGAATTATGGAGCTCATTCTGATGCAGGTGCTAGTGGGTGGAGGGTGAGATCGTAGAGCTCATCCTGGTGCAGGTGGTGATGGGTGGAGGGCGGGCTTATAGAGCTTATTCTGGTGCAGGTATTGGTGGGTAGAAGGTGGGGTAAGAGAAGTGACCCCAGCCCACTCTGGCGTGGGTAGGGTAGGAAGGAGCGGGATGGGTCCCTCAGGACGGCGCGCGTCGTCCCCAGGGTGACGGGAAGCACTGACTCTTGGCGCTGGCCAGAAATTACTGGTAAGATTCATAATGAGTGAGACGCGACCGCTCATCACGGTGCCATTGTCTGCTAGTGCAAGAGATCTGGGGTCACTCTTGGTATACCATTACTACATTAGTGAGTGAGCAATCTGAATTATTTCTTTATCTCTAATAAGATGCACGAGCTTGTGTGTACTTTACGCTACTGTGTAGCCTTATGGCTCTGTGTACTAGCGAGTAGCCTGTCTGCTGGCCACTTTGCCCTCTCTAGCAATCCCCTGATTTTCTCACACTATTGATATCGGATCAGTAAATAACAGCTAATCCCACTGTGTACTGTCCACTAGCAGGAGGTGGCAACGGAAGAGGAGGAAAAGGTGCGTGCGGGCGTAGTGCACTTGTACGGGCAGGCGTGGTGTGCCTGAAGCTTGGCGCCCTCGTGGGTCTCCTCTACCTCTTCGTGTGCTCCCTCAAGCTGCTGGCCAGCTCCTTCAGGCTCCTCGGCGGCAGGACAGCCAGTGAGTAGTTCTCCTCTCTCTTGGTTCATGTTCTATTATCTATTAACTGCTGAATATCGAATATCAGTTCTAAATTCACCCATTAATATGCAACAGTACATTAACACACACACACACACACACACACACACACACACACACACACACACACACACACACACACACACACACACACACACACACACACACACACACAGGAGTCATTGCATTAAACAACCAGCGGGGTCCAAGAGCTAGAGCTCGATCCTGTAAGCATAAATAGGCGAGCACACACACACACATGAACCATTTCCAATTGGCTCTCAGTACACGAGTATGTTATCCAAACAATTATCTTCAAGGCATTCCTAAGTGTGCCTAATACAAATATAAGAATTAAAATGAACATTAATTAAAGATTACAATATCAACAACTGCTATTACTTTTACCGGTGTTAATATAAGAAGCAAATGGTGAGACTGCCGACCTTGTGTTGCAGGTACGGTGTTCCAGCAGTCTCAGGTGTTGAGTAACCCGGTGGTGGGGTTGATGATGGGGGTGTTGGTGACGGTGCTGGTGCAGTCCTCCTCCACCTCCTCCTCCATCGTCGTCTCCATGGTCGCCGCCAACTGTAAGTGCCCCTCCTCGTCCTCCTGTGGTCTGTTTTCTCAGCGCCAGACTTCCCTGTTCCTCGCTGTGTGCACATGTATCTCGCACTCACTTCTGCTTCCTCTCCTCACAAAGTTTATCCTTCCTGCACTAATAATTCTTCTCCATTGTTCACAAATTTCTTATCCGTAGTCTCAGTTTTCCTAGTTTGGTTTCGGGTGATTATTGGGTGCTAGGCGAAATTTGTAAGTGTGAAAATTTGTTTTTTATTTGCACATCGATATTATCGAAATTTTACTAAATCTTTGCATGTAATGGGAAACCCCGTTACATGCAAAGTAATTAAGGAATGCCTCGATAAATTAAAGGAATCTACCGATCCAAGTGTTCATGGCTTCAGGTGTGGATAGAATTCAGTCTAAAATCGTAAAGGAACAGGCCTATTAAGTATGTCTACCACTGAAATTCCTATTCAGAAAATTCCTAGTCTAAAGAATATTGTCCCTTTAGATTGGAAATATGCAAATATCACCCTATATCCAGGGAACACAGAAGTTCAGCAGAATTCTACGGAGCAATCAGCCTAACCTCACACATATGCAGGCTCACGGAGAGAATGTAAGAGAGGAAACCATTCACCATTTCACAGTGCACAATCTAGTAAATGCATCACATCAGAGTTTGACATAAAAACCAATCCTGCTTAACGAACCAGCTCACATTTCTGAAAACAATAACCGACTGCACAGAGAAAGAAATTTCAATACATGTAGTGTGCATGGACGTCTCTAAAGCTCTTGATGGCACCACACGAAAGACTGGAATGGAAATGCAAGCACATGGAATAAACCATAAAATACTAGAATGGATAAAATAATGGCTAAAGCAAAAAGTCAAAGAGTTGTATTTAATCTGACTGGAAAAATATTGCAAATGGAGTATTGCAAAGTTTTATTTTAGGGACATCAACAACAGATGAAAAAAATCAAAAGCCACACCATCAAATTTTCAAATGACACGAAGATCTACGGTAAAGTGGAAGCGAAAATGATATTGAGGTCTTGTAAAACGAGTTTCGTGACCTGTACAAAGGGTCAGAGGATTGGCAAATGCTTTTCAATATTGAAATATACAAGACCTTGTATGTAGCGTATAACAAAACACATAACGACCATAAAACAACACTGCCCTCTAACAGTACAATAAAAAAGACAATGTACTAGGAATGATAGTCCACCAGTCAATAAAATATACTCAGCAAAAAGTGACACCCTCCGTCACTATGTGATGGAGTGCGAAAAGATACGTGAATTTAGAGACAATTCTATAACCAATGTTCCAGCGATGTGTCAATATTTCATTCAAAATGATCTGCTACCAGAAATTTTAGCCAAATATCCCCAGTTTGCTAACTGCAGGTAGTAACTAAGTGATTGTAACCTATCCACTGCTGCCCACTGGATGGGGGGGGGGCGGTGTGCAGGACAAACATATCAATTGTGACACTAGCTCTCCACATATGTCAGTTGCTTAATTTAGAACCTGTACTTGAGGTCGATCTCGAACCCATTGTTGATGTGACGACTTATATTGAATTTTGTAACTAGCTCATCAAGATTGTAACTTGCTTAGCTAAATGAATTGTGGGGTTCAGTCCCTGAGCCCATTATGTGCCTCTGTAACCCTTTCCACTACCGCCCACAAGATGGGTATGGGGTGCATAATAAATGAACTAAACTAAACTAACTAAGCAAAAAGGAGCTGCAGTAAAAAAAAAAAGAATAATCAAACGAACCTTTGACTTCAGAATCTCTGGGGCATCCCCATCTGGAGATAGCTACTTTGGAAAAGTAGTTTGGAAAGTTTTTTGGAAAGAATCTTGGAAAGTTCATCGCAGTCAAAATAATCATCCAGAACTAAATCAACTCTCATACCCGGGAAAGGTTGAGGATCTCAGGACTAACAACACTACACATTAGACGCAACAGGACTAATTTCATGGAGACCATTATAAAATTAAACAAAATGGAAGATATTAATCCAGACCAAGCCGTAGAAGGTTCAGTATAACTCATACAAGGGGCAAAAACTTCAAGCTCAACAATCCACAAAGTAGGACAGGCAACAGATGCTTTTTAACCTAAGTGTTAATATACCCATGGTCTCTCCTACTCACCAAGCCGTAAATGCCAAGATAGTATTCCAGTTTGAAATCAATTGAAAAACTCAGGAGTAATGGAGGAATATTTGACAAGACGCCGGCTTCCTTTCCACGGTGACATCACTAGAGATATGGGCCCTCAAGTAAAGTGACGTCACGGTGACATCACTAGAGATATGGGCCCCTCAAGTAAAGTGACGTCACGGTGACATCACTAGAGATATGGGCCCCTCAAGTAAAGTGACGGTGACATCACTAGAGATATGGGCCCCTCAAGTAAAGTGACGGTGACATCACTAGAGATATGGGCCCCTCAAGTAAAGTGACGGTGACATCACTAGAGATATGGGCCCTCAAGTAAAGTGACGGTGACATCACTAGAGATATGGGCCCCTCAAGTAAAGTGACGGTGACATCACTAGAGATATGGGCCCTCAAGTAAAGTGACGGTGACATCACTAGAGATATGGGCCCCTCAAGTAAAGTGACGGTGACATCACTAGAGATATGGCCCCTCAAGTAAAGTGACGTGACGGTGACATCACTAGAGATATGGGCCCTCAAGTAAAGTGACGTCACGGTGACATCACTAGAGATATGGGCCCTCAAGTAAAGTGACGTGACGGTGACATCACTAGAGATATGGGCCCCTCAAGTAAAGTGACGTGACGGTGACATCACTAGAGATATGGGCCCTCAAGTAAAGTGACGTCACGGTGACATCACTAGAGATATGGGCCCTCAAGTAAAGTGACGGTGACATCACTAGAGATATGGGCCCTCAAGTAAAGTGACGGTGACATCACTAGAGATATGGGCCCTCAAGTAAAGTGACGGTGACATCACTAGAGATATGGCCCCTCAAGTAAAGTGACGGTGACATCACTAGAGATATGGCCCCTCAAGTAAAGTGACGGTGACATCACTAGAGATATGGGCCCTCAAGTAAAGTGACGGTGACATCACTAGAGATATGGGCCCTCAAGTAAAGTGACGGTGACATCACTAGAGATATGGCCCCTCAAGTAAAGTGACGGTGACATCACTAGAGATATGGCCCCTCAAGTAAAGTGACGGTGACATCACTAGAGATATGGCCCCTCAAGTAAAGTGACGGTGACATCACTAGAGATATGGCCCCTCAAGTAAAGTGACGGTGACATCACTAGAGATATGGGCCCTCAAGTAAAGTGACGGTGACATCACTAGAGATATGGCCCCTCAAGTAAAGTGACGGTGACATCACTAGAGATATGGGCCCTCAAGTAAAGTGACGGTGACATCACTAGAGATATGGGCCCTCAAGTAAAGTGACGGTGACATCACTAGAGATATGGCCCCTCAAGTAAAGTGACGGTGACATCACTAGAGATATGGGCCCTCAAGTAAAGTGACGGTGACATCACTAGAGATATGGGCCCTCAAGTAAAGTGACGGTGACATCACTAGAGATATGGCCCCTCAAGTAAAGTGACGGTGACATCACTAGAGATATGGGCCCTCAAGTAAAGTGACGGTGACATCACTAGAGATATGGGCCCTCAAGTAAAGTGACGGTGACATCACTAGAGATATGGGCCCTCAAGTAAAGTGACGGTGACATCACTAGAGATATGGGCCCTCAAGTAAAGTGACGGTGACATCACTAGAGATATGGGCCCCTCAAGTAAAGTGACGGTGACATCACTAGAGATATGGGCCCTCAAGTAAAGTGACGGTGACATCACTAGAGATATGGGCCCTCAAGTAAAGTGACGGTGACATCACTAGAGATATGGGCCCCTCAAGTAAAGTGACGGTGACATCACTAGAGATATGGGCCCTCAAGTAAACTGACGTATATTAAAGTGTGCATATGTTCTATGTGTATGCCGTTTAGTTCCATCAACGGAAGAAAGTAAATTTCTAGACATGTTAGGGAAGGCGGGAGGAGTGAAAAGCAAGAAATCATCTTGTGTAAGCCACGAAGCTCGAAAGGTACTAAGTCTGCTGTATAATAATAATCCGAATTTACGAAATTTGTATATTGATAAAAAATGTAAATGTTATATTTTTAAGGACTATTCTATTCTGTAAATTTTAACAATAAGTTCATTTAGAGCATGTATGATTAAAATATATTTGGTCTAACTATTGTTTATTCTGGGACAGTCCTGGACGTGCCGACAGCCATCCCTATCATCATGGGAGCCAACATCGGCACTTCCGTCACTAACACCCTAGTCAGCATTGGACAGGTAAGGTCTCAAGTCTTCCCCTTATATAGCAGTGCATTTTTTTACGCTACCTCTGTGAATATTTGTCCTATAGACTCTGTATATAGCCATATAACCATGAATATAACCATACCATATCAAGTTTTATTGAATTATTTTAAAATTAATAAACCCTTCATTTGTTGCTCCCCCCCCCCCTCATTTAATATTTCAGTATTAATATTAGCTGGTAGGTCAGTGAGGGTCACACTGATCTGCAAGCAGTGTTAAACTTGGGGTATTGGGTGAGTAAAAGGGAAGAGCAGGGTGGGGTTATTACAATGTTACGCTTGTTGGCCCGCCTTAATTTGATCATGTGGCGAACGCACCTCCAACTTACTAGTCACTTGCAGGTGGGCGACCGGGAGCAGTTTGAGCGTGCCTTCGCCGGTGCTGTGGTTCATGACATGTTCAACTGGCTGTGTGTGGGGGTGCTGCTGCCTCTCGAGGTCGCCACCGGCTACCTCAACCTTCTCACCAAGGCCATTCTCTCCGGCATCACCCTCGAACAAAACGACATGCAGGTCGAGCTATTCTCAGGCATCACTAAACCCTTCACAGACAAGATAGTTACGGTTAGTTTGCTACATCTGTTTTAAACCTTGAGATCATTTAATTACGTTGTGGTCGTGATAAGTACCGTAGTTTTCCTAATATTGTACAAAATACATTTATTTTATTCTTCTTTCAATGCAATAATTCGGTGATTTTAAGAAAGTCTTTAGAATATTTAGGTAGTAGTGATATATATATCCATGTGTGCGTGCGTGTTTTGCAGCTGGACAAGTCAGTGTTGACGGGATGGACGATGAAGGACCCAGCTTACGAGAACGCCACTCTGCTGCGACGCCTCTGTGCCCACCCTCACAACGAAACTCAGTTCGTCACCTGTAAGTTGACGCAAGTGGACTTGCACACCTTAATCCCTCGGCTATCTGTGTACACATTTTCCATGACTTTTTCCTGATAAAACTCTTGTCTATTAAATATAAATAGAATAAATAATGTAATATTGAAATATGTCCGTAATAAAACCACACATCAGAAAACGAAGAAATTCTAGTTTCTTCGTTTTCTGATGTGTGGTTTGGTTATCATATTATCAGTCACGTTATTGTGACTCATCGTCTACATGACTATATGTACTGATCAGGACATTCAAACTATGAAATCAGCATTGTATAAGCTCAATACATAACATAGTGAAGCATCTTCAGGGATTTGGAATAACACTGAAACACAATACTATATATTTTGTGTGTGTGTTGCAGGTGGAACCCTGGCGGCCCAGCTGCCTCTCAACGACACGGGTGTTGGGATGGTACTGCTGGCTATGTCCCTCATCCTGCTCACCATCTGCCTCATCGCCATCGTCAAGACTCTCAGTTCAATGCTCAAGGGTGAGTCTTCCCTCACACTGCCTCTCAGAACTGTGGCTAAACAAGATACAGTTTAAGGCTTAGGGACTCACCAAGTCTAAATTCAGTTTTAGTAGCACTTACCCTGCAACCCGTCCTTATATTAGGCTGTTTCAAGCAGCTGTTATCCTCCTCAGACGCATTCATAAATTTTTAACATACTGTGCATTAAAAATCGGTTTCTTCTCAATATAAATTAATATAATTATACATAAAACTTCTGTGCATAGTTAGGCGTAGGTTATGTTAGGTGTTTAGGTTCTTTTGGCGATTATTTATATTTGTAGTACGTGGGTGAAGCATTTACAGCAACTCATCCTCGACTCAAGTCCATTACATCCAGCGGTCGACCCCACAGACGCATTCATAAATTTTAACATGCTGTTCATTCAAAACGGGAATTTTCTCAAGTATAAATTAATATTATAATATATTAGCATATTGTGTATAAATAGGCATAGGTTAGGTTAGGTTAGGTGTTTAGGTTCTGTTGGCGATTATTTGTATTTGTAGTACGTGGGTGAAGCATTTACAGTGTTGTGGTTCGAACAAAATTCGTTAGTGAAGCACTTGTTCCGGATATGTTCGAACGTCAGCAGTTGTGAGTCGTGTGTAAACCGCTTTTCATTCATAAACAGGGGGGTTTGGCGGGTGCATGGAATCACTTTTGGATCTTTGTTTGGAGGACGGGCTGTTTACAGCGTTCTGGTTCGAATAGAATTCGTCAGTCAAGCACTTGTTCCAGAAGTGTTCGAATGAAATCAGTTGTGAGTCGTGTGTAGCCCGTTTTTCATTCATAAACGAGCTGGGGGGACGGGCTGCTTCGACAGCCCGTCCTCCAAACAAAGACCCAAAAGTGATTCCATGCACCCACCAAACCCCCTGTTTATGAATGAAAAACGGTTTACACACGTCTCACAACTGATTTCGTCCGAACACTTCCGGAACAAGTGCTTCACTGACGAATTTTATTCGAAACACAACGCTGTAAACGCCCACGTACCACAAACACAAATAATCGCGAACAGAGCCTAAACACTTAACCTAACCTAACCTATGCCTATATATGCACAATATGCTAATATATTTTAATATTAATTCATATTTGAGAAAATTCCCGTTTTGAATGAACAGCATGTAAAAATTTATGATTGCGTCTGTGGGGTCGACCGCTGGATGTAATGGACTTGAGTCGAGGACGGGTTGAAATGCTTCACCCATGTACTACAAATACAAATAATCGCCAACAGAACCTAAACACCTAAAATAACCTACGCCTAACTATACATAGAATTTTTATGTATAATGATATTAATTTATATTGAGAAGAAACCAATTTTTAATACACAGTATGTTAAAATTTATGAATGCGTCTGAGGAGGACGGCCACTGCTTAAACAACCTAATGTGAAGACGGGTTGGTAAATGCTACACCCATGGACTTTAAATACAAATAATCACCATCTTGTGTTGATTCTTATTCGCCAGTTTTATCACTATTGGCCTAACCACTTGGGCTGGATGGTAGAGCGACGGTCTCGCTTCATGCAGGTCGGCGTTCAATCCCCGACCGTCCAAGTGGTTGGGCACCATTCCTTCCCCCCGTCCCATCCCTTGTCCTGACCCTTTCCAAGTGCTATAAAGCACACACCTACAGGCTTGGTGCTTTCTCCTGATAGTTTCCTTCCTTCCTTTATCACTATTGTAGAACCAACTTCGTCAGGTTTATCACTGGCGTAGACCCTCTTGAATTGCAGACTGAGTAACGTGTTGTGTTATAATGTCATGCCATTTGTGCTTTGCAGGGTCAGTGGCGATTGTGGTGCAGCGAGTACTCAACGCGGATTTACCCCGCGTGCCATGGCTGACAGGCTACCTAGCAATTCTTGCTGGCGCCATTATGACTTTTATCCTTCAGTCCTCCTCCATCTTCACCTCCACGTTGACGCCGCTAGTTGGGCTGGGCATGATCAGCGTGGAGCGCATGTACCCACTCACGTTAGGTTCCAACCTGGGCACCACCACTACTGCCCTCCTCGCCGCTCTTGCCTCAGATCCCGCCAGCCTTCGTCCGGCCATCCAGATTGCGCTTGTTCATCTTTTCTTCAACGTGACGGGCTTACTGATCTGGTACCCCATACCCTTCCTGCGTCTTCCTGTGCGGTTGGCTCTCGGCCTGGGTAAGATCACCGCCAAATACCGCTGGTTTGCCGTCGTATACATGGTGATGTCCTTCGCTATCGTGCCACTCTTCGTGTTTGCTGTGTCCCTCGGCGGGCCTGTCGTCATGTACTGTGTCTTCATTCCAATCGCCATATTTATGTTGATAGTCATATTCATTAATATAGCTCAGGTACGTTTCCCAAAATGCCTGCCACTTTTGCTGCGGACGTGGCACTGGCTGCCCCTTCCACTTCGCTCTCTACATCCCTATGATGACCTCATATCACGTCTCATGTGCTGCACTCGCCGTCCAGGACACCAGTACGCCTACGTGCCGGCAGTGTCCGTTCAGCCCCCACCCCCTGGAACTGAGCAAGAGGAAGCCGTGGCCGTAATAATTCGGGACAACAAGGGACTGGAGAGTGAAGGTGGCGAAGAGCGTGGGAGCGAGCACACAGAGGTGCAAATCCACAGTGCCAGTGTTGCTTCCCGTGTCGTCTTCGTCCAGCACGAGACCTCTACCTAAGGTGCCAATACCTCCACGACTCACCTGTCGTGGGCGTCCATGATGTTGGAATGTTGATCAAATGCGAATTGTCGTCGTCAGACACTATTTCTCAATTATAAGAATTCGTAAATAAATGAATATTATATATTCAAAAAATCTTTGCTAGTAAGCATATGCTCAAATAGATTTTTTTATTTCATTAAAATTTCTATGCACAGACTTTAATCACAAAATTCCTACTACTTTATGATAAAAGGTTGTAAAATGCATATATTTTTTCATGAAAGCTGAGAAATCGAGCAACTTTAAAAAAGTTGTCTATATCAAAGAGGTTGTGACTTGAGTAAGATTCATAGTGGATCATTGGATCTGCAGGCAGTTTGTCGAAGTTTAATAACATCATCCGCACATATGTAACCAATGTGTACCATTACAGCAACGTCTTTAAGACCTTATGTAACAATATGTATAGCTGGTGCCAGTGAATAATATAAACGAATATAACCAATATCATATATATTTATATATTTAGGTAATACATCTAGTCGGTGATTCTTTAAATATCCAGGTGTCGACGAGAGTAAGAAGATGTAGTTTGACAGCCGTCTGCCTCGGGTAGTGTGGTCAGTAGGTCTACGTTGTGGCTTCCCTCCAGCCAGTAGCCCACCCTTGCTCGTCTCGTACTTCAGATGCTAGATCCTCATCTTTTATTCCTCAGAGCACCACACAATTGATCAAATCTTAATCAAGGCATCTCAAAATGTCCTAAAAATATCAGACTTCCACTACGGTCCTTGATGCCGCTTAGAACTATCATGTTCTCATTAAAATGCCTGGCAATATCACTTAAAAATATATATATTTTTTAATTTGTCTCTCGTCAACATCTCTAGGCACATTAGTGAGTGATCCCATTATTTGTCCGCATTTCACAGTTAATACAGCAAACTTCGAATGCCGTACTTAAAAATATAACATCACAGTGCAAATGGACAGATTGACCTACGTAGTTCTTCTGTAAATTGAATTTATTCACATGATGGACTATCATCCTCAGTCCGAACAAGGCACAGATATCGTCCGTTGTCTGGCTAAGACTACAGATTAATTTCATTATTAATGAAACTCAATATCATTTGCTTCCTTACGTAGGTCAAAATTTCATCTGCTCTGACGGAACGTCACGGAAGACTAAAATGGCATCCAATAACTGACGGACACATTGTCATCTACTGTCTGAGAAAGATGACGGTGTCATCCATGCATTGTCTAACGAAGTTCATCTACTCTGACGAAAATCACGGCATCATCCAGTATCTGGCGGAGACCACAGCACCATTCACTGCCTGATTAAAATCCTTGCATCAACTATTGCCTGAAGAACACATTTTCCACATTCGGTCGAAGACCCCCAACTTCACCCATGCTCCACGAGGAATCTATACTATCCGTGTGTTGGTGCGAGACCTGGGCGCGTCCCTGGGCGAGAGCACACCGCACCCTTCCCTGCGGCCAGCCCTGCACAAGGGACTGCAGGCGTCGACGCTCTCACCTAGGTCACCCCTCAGTAGTCGACATTTCATCTATTAGAAGCTACTCCCTGCCACAACGCTCTAACTTATGCGCAATAATGTAAACAATCATTTATATTGTTGTAAATGGATGTAAATATACGTGCGAATGTGGTATTGTTCGTGCGGTGTTATTTTGTGATAACTGAATATAATGTCACCGGCTCACTTAATTTTTATATTGTATTTATTCGCGAAAGAACAACAGAATAATCTGGCAAAGAAACATATAAGTAGTCCTTATTGAAGGGTTTCCGGCAGTTCACCTGACACTATAATTAATACAAACTTGTATATTCTCGCTCTAATGTCACAAAATAGAAATTGCAAAACAAATGATTATAATAACTTCAGGAAAACAAATTGTTCCACGAAAACAACAGCGACAGTGATTGCTTAACGCGTTTATATATTTTGTTAAATTAATATACAACAGGAGCAAGCTGAGTGACTTCAAGTGTAATATTTTGTTATTAGAGAACATTTTTGACAGTAGGCTATTTATAGAAAGAATTGTTACATGATCTAGTAACCTTTCATTTCACAAAAAACAATAATACTTTAAATTTTGAGCTGATAACCTAAAATAATGGTTATCATTGATGTATTGGCTACGGCAGGTTAGAGTGCCTCTCCCTGCAGTGTGGAGGCTGTCTCATGCTCTCGGTAATTTACTTACACCATGGTCATTCTTCAGGTTTTGTTTAATATTTTTAATTACGATTAATGACTGTCTATGTAGATAAGATCATTATATATTTTTATAATAAATATGTGACAATATTATCCTTGTGTTTATTTGATCCATTGACTAGTGGTGCGTACTTGCCAACGCCATCACAAATGTGGTCATAATAAGTATAAATTTGCCATCGTCGTTCTTCTTGTGTGTTTTTATATGGATAATTTACAGCAGCTGTAATAGCATCTAAATCGTGGGGAAAGTGTAGCCATTAAGGGAGTAAGGGAGCCGGTCGGCCGAGCGAACAGCACGCTGGACTTGTGATCCTGTGGTCCCGGGTTCAATCCCGGGCGCCGGCGAGAAACAATGGGCAGAGTTTCTTTCACCCTATGCCCCTGTTACCTAGCAGTAAAATAGGTACCTGGGTGTTAGTCAGCTGTCACGGGCTGCTTCCTGGGGGTGGAGGCCTGGTCGAGGACCGGGCCGCGGGGACACTAAAAAGCCCCGAAATCATCTCAAGATAACTCAAGATTACATTAATACGGTAGATGCACTAACCTTGTTAATAATATATTAATAAAGCTCCTGCTGACTCCTTTCACTGACCTTACTTAAAATTACATGAATTTACCTGAGAGTCCCTAACACTAGTGGCCTCGACGAGGACAGGAAGCCGGCGGCTTGTCGAAGGTCCCCCCATTTGCCTTGATGATCCTTTCCAGTTGTACGATAAAAGTTACCAGAGTTTTGGCATTTACGGCTTCGGCAGGTAGGCGGTTCCATGGGCTTATAACCACTGTGGGTGAAAACGCATTTCCTGTTCTCAGTCCTACACTGTGGCTTCTTGGGCTTGATGCCGTTGCTCCTTGTTTGTGTTACATCTGACCTTCTGAAAAAAAAATTCCGGATCAACATTCTCCAAATTGTTCAGTATTTTAAGTTTCAATGAGATCCGCCCTGTCATGCCTGGTTTGCAGTGTTGTTAGCCCTGTTAGTTGTTAGCTCTGAAATGATTTTTGTTGCCCGGTGTTACACTTTCTCTAGAGCAGTTATGTCCTTCTGAAGATGCGGTCTCCATGCTTGGATACAGTAATCCAAATGGGGACGCACCAGAGATATATACAATTGATTCACTACATTCTTTTCCTTAAAATCAAAGGTACGCTTGATTATTCCAAGGATTTGGTTAGCTTTTTTACTTCTGCCCCTACCTGCCATGCAACTTTCATGAGTGGTGGATTTTGACTCCGTAGTCCTTTTCTTCATCAGTCTGCTGTAATGTAATGATATTAATATAGTAGTCGTGGCGTGGGTTGTTATGCCCTACATGCAGGGTCTATCATTTGTCAAAATTAAAAGGCATTTGCCAGTCTTCTGACCATTTGTGGAGTTCATGTAGATCTCTTTGTAAGACTTCAATATCATTATCATTTCCCACTTTACCATAAATCTTTATGTCATCTTCAAATTTGATTTACATAGCATTTCATATTAAATTTTTATTTTGAAGTAAATAATTATAATAAGAAAGAAAAAAGAGACAGAGTACTAAGAAACAAACTAAATGAGTTAAGAAACACAGACCAATACAAAGATTCAAAGCAAGGACGACAAGAATGCTCCCCAGTGTGCAGTGCGTTTCTGCCACGCATATTAGTGGCTGTGTATGAATGTAAAAATACCAATCCTATGTAATCTCACCAACCCATTGTATCTTCTTGCAAATAAATTATTATTATTATTATAGTAATGTACAGAATGCAGGAACAATCTCTCAGCCAATAGGAACAACGTCAGGAGTTTAAATTGCTTCAACACAAACGCCAGAAGCTTAGTATATAAATGGTATACATTGTGTGCATACACTGAGGCTGAAAATCCCGACATTATTGACACCAGAGAAACATGGGGACGAGAAGACGTAATTAAAGGGGAATTTCATCTTCCAGGACACCATCCACCATACAGACAGGACAGAACAATAAGAGCAGGTGGTGTAATACTATATGTAAAACACTTTCTCATAAACGCCAAAACTCTGATGGGTTTTAAAATACAGATAGAAAAGATCATTGGGTAAATGAGGGAGGGGGGGGGGACTTTGACAAGCCGCAAGCTTCCTGTCCTCGTCGAAGACACTAGTATTAGTGGCCCTCAGGTAATTTCAGGTAAAAGAGGACTTGACTGTAACTAGCAATTAATATGGAATTGAACACCAAGGGATTGGGTAAATGTAACATCAGAGGCAGATGGAGAACAATTTATTGACCTGGTACAGGACTTCTTTCTAACACAACATGTGACGAGCCCACACGAGGTATGGCATGGAGGCATCAGGGGAAAATTTAAAAAAGGTCATAGCTGAAATCGTCCAAAAATATGTGCCAAGAAGGGGGAGTGAAAAAGAGAGGGAACTAGATGGATAATATAGGTAATAATTAAGCAGAACCTCTAAAGAAGGTATAAATCCACAATGAACAACAGATTGTGAGATATATAGAAGGGCACTAAACTCAGCAACCCAGGAAATCAGATCAGCCAAGAGAAACTGCTCCATTTCCATCTTCACCGATGGGTCTAAATCTGCAGACGGTGTAGGCTACTCTGTTGTTCCTGACCACACCTATATATGTCGCCTGCCTCTGGAGACTAGCATCTTCATGGCAGAACTTTATGCTATTCTCTATGCTCTTCGTCTACTGCTTTATCGTTGTCAACCACTAAGTGTTGCTTGTTTCTGTTTTACTTGGGCGGAGTATGAGTATTTATGACTCGTATGGTCGCTTCAGTAAGATTTTGTCCCACGTGTTTAACAACTTCTTCTGCTTTGTTGAATCTAGGTTGAAATCTCAATGGGTTTGTAACTGTGCACTGTGTTAGATAATGTTCCAGTGGTCTGTCGGGCATTTCTCCACAGTGCTGACATTTCCTCTCATCTTCCGGAACCTGTAAGCCTATTTCCCATGCGCATGGGTATCCAAGCCTGATGCTATGTAAGTATACTTCTGTTGCTCTACTGCTCCCTTTCATCAAACTAAGTGGTTCGTTAGTTGGTTGAATTCTTGTGCCAACCCGTAGATCCTGATGTTGCAACTGCTGTGCTGTAGTCACTGTACATCTTTTGCATTGCTGTTTCTAATTACTTTCTTAATCTGTGATAGACTCTGTGGTATATAAATGTCTACATTTCTTCTCTTGCAAGTTTTGCAGCTTCGTCTGCAATGTCATTTCCTATTATTCTCACATGACTTGGCACCCAGTTGATAAGTACCCGTCGGCCTTGTCGTTTGAGTGTTTGCATTAATGATATGACATTTGTGATCAGATGGATGTTATCACATATGTGTTCTTGTTGCAAGGTTTCAATGGCAGTTCTCGAATCCGTATGTATGACAACATGTTGTCGGTGTTCAGCAAGTTTGGAACATGTCGGCATGTTCCAAAGCCTTTTGAATGGCTAGCATCTCTGTTAAGTCGAACACCCATTTGAGAGTCTCCAACTATTTACAGTTTCCTGCTTTAACTGCAGCTCCGGTTTCTTGTCTTTGCTGATCTACTGATCCATCTGTGAAGTATGTGAAGCTGTCGGATGCCAAGTTTGCTTCTATATGCATCTGTGCAATATTACGTAGCAGATGAGGATTTGTTTGGTTCTTTTTTCCTTCAAGAACCATAATCTTAAAGTCTGCTGGCAGAGATTCCCAAAGGGCTTGCATAACAAAGTCTGCATGTATTTCGTCGACACCCCTCTCAGTGATTGTGTTTGTTATATCGAATGTATTGATGGTTCAAGTTCAAGTTCAAGTATGTTTACTGAGACAAGAAAGAAATACATCTCAAAGGGATAGAGTAGCTTAGGCTATTTCTACCCCCCTTGTATTGATGGTGTTTATCGCACAATGGGTCCACCTGTTGCTATTGGAGGTTCTGTCCAGAGTTAGTGCTCCATTGATTATATCTTTAAGTGAACCGATTCTAGGTCTAGTCAATATCTTGGTCAGCATGCATGCAGCAATCCCTTTTACCCTTATTTCAATCGACGTTAGTTTGGTTTCTAGTCTTAAGTTCAGTTACGCTGTTGTGCGTAAAGGTTGAGAGCTGTGTGTGAGAGCTACAACGCTCTCCCACATACAGAAAAATAGAACATAAAACGCTCTCCCACAAAAAAAAAAAAAAAATAGTTTTTTCTACTTCAGTTAAATTTTTGTTTTTGATCTCATTAGTTTTAAGTCTTAGTTTTAAAGTTTATTTTGTCCACATCATGCAGGAAACGCTGTGCGTATTAGTGGCTTTAGACATACATAGTATATACAATCATTATGGATTTCCATTTAACCGCCTACCTGCCGAAGCTGTAAATGTACTCTACGGAACTTTCAAATCCAGCTTGAAAATAATCCTGACAAATGGGGAGACCTTTGACAAGCTGGCGGCTTCCTGTCCTCGTCGAGGCCACTAGATTGTTAGTGGCCGTCAGGTAAATTCAGATAAACGCATGGAACCGTCTACCTGATGAAACCGTAAATACTAAAGCACTGCTGAACTTTAAGATCACTTCGATAAAATCATCAGAAGTGGTGGAACATTTGAGAAGCCGCCGGCTTCCTGTCCTCGTCGAAGCCACAAGAGAGACAGTGGCCCCTTGGTTATGATAAAAATCCCCAATACCCAACGTAAGATCCCTTATAATTAAAAGTAAACGTTTATTACATTTTGTGGGGTGGTCCTTAGTTCCTGGGAGAGAGGAGACGCTGGGGCGGACCTGTACACTGCTCGATCTCTGCTGGCCATAATCACACTGCTCAGCTTAATTTTACGTCTGACGCTAGTTTAGGTTGCGCAAATCCAAATCTGGCCATGTAAATTTAGACCTATGTCAAAAAGTGTTTGTACCGTGGTGTGTTAGAGGTTAGTGAACGGTGGTGGTAGCGGCGGCAACAGCTGCTTCACGCAGCCACTCACCTGCATGTGTGGCCGCTCCCCTCAACACCAGCCCTCACTCATGCTAGATGCTCACAAGTAACTCTCAAAGGTAACGCCACGAATTTGGGAAGCGAGTGAACTGCGAGAGTGGTGCTTCCACCCGAGTGGCACCATTCCTGAGCAGGTAACAAAGGTGTACAAGGTATACCTCCCCGCCTCCCACTTCCCAGTTGTTCACCAGTGATTTTTCATCATGTTTGAAGAAACATGGGTAATGAATATTTATTTTCGTAGCAGTGGATGATGTTAAAGTTACAGCCAATCAAGTTAGTTACTTTGGATTGGCCAGTAACTGGCAAAGTAAATTTACCTGAATTTACCTAATTTGTTATTTACTCATTATCTGCTGATGTAGACCTGACCAGGTTTACAGACCAAATGTAAACTGTCACCAAAATTATTCACGCACACTCCATCACTATGTGATGGAGTGCGAAAAGACATGTGAATTCAGAGACAATTCTATAATAAATGTTCCAGAGATGTGTAAATATTTCATTCAAAATGATCTGCTACCAGAAATCTTAGCCAAATATCCCCAGTTTGCAAACTGTAGGTAGTAACTAAGTGACTGTAACCTATCCACTGCTGCCCACTGGATGGGGGGCGGTGTGCAGGACAAACATATCAATTGTGACACTAGCTCTCCATATATGTCAGTTGCTTAAATTAGAAACTTTAATTGTGGTCGATCGAATCCCATTGATGATGCGACGATGTGTATTTAATTTTGTAACTAGCTCATCTAGATTGTAACTTGCTTAGTAAATGAATTGTCGGGTTCAGTCCCTGAGCCCATTATGTGCCTCTGTAACCCTTTCCACTACCGCCCACAGGATGGGTATGGGGTGCGTAATAAATGAACTAAGCTAAACTTTATTTACTTGGCCACTATCTCCCTAGTGGTCTCGACTTCTATCGGGATTTTAAAATGAAGTAATATCATGGTGGTTCCATGGGTTTATTACCATATGGGTGAAAACAATGCATCTGTTTTCTGCTCTACATTGTGGCTTGATGAGCATGTAGTTGTTGCCCATTGTATACATTACATTTGACCTTTTACCTGAATATACCTGAGGGGCCACTATCTCTCTAGTGGTTTCGACGAGAGCAGGAAGCTGGCAACTTGTCAGAGGTCCCTTCCATTTGTCCTAAGGGTGATGATTTTATCAAGCTGTATTTTGAAATTCTGCAGTGTTTTGGCATTTACAGCATCAGTCGGTAGGCTGTTTTGTTAATTTATAACGTTGTGGGTGAATAAACGTCTCATGTTTTCTGTCCTATGTTTTGGCACCTTGTTCAAGCTTCATTTGACCTTTTGAAGAAGTTGTCTTAATTACGTATCCTCCAAATTGTTCAATAGTTTAAAAGTTTCGATGAGATCCGCCCTGTCATGTCTGGTTTGCAATGTTGTTAGCCCTGAGGGCCCTCAATTGTTCCTGGTATGAGAGTCAACTTAGTCCTGGAATTATTTTTTGGCCCGGTGTTGAACTTACTCCAAAGCAGATACAGTGTGTCTTTCTGAAGATGGGGTCTCCATGCCTGGATACAATAATCCAAGTGCATGTCTTTGGTGCATGCACCAAAGATTTATACAGTTAAATAAGTACTGTACCTTTTTTGTTGGTCTCTCTTCACTACAGTATATGGAAATAATTAGTTGCCCTAATCACTTCCTTGTCCAATATATCCAGAATGAGGGTGCATTTTTTATGACAAGGTAATTTTATTTAGTGAAAAGTACATGCAAAATGAGTTAAAAACAGAATGTTGTAATGCTGCCTGGTGCCAAGGGGTATGAGGGGACCACGATTAAGCTAGATTCAGTGACATCATCTTAGATAGGCAAAAATACACGAACAAAGCTGGACAAATGACCCACACACATTTAAACTTAATTAAATTGAAATTTATTGGCACTGCAAATTCTGATTATCAAAATTTTTCTAGTTTTCCAGGTACAGATATTTAATCTAGGTAATCAAGGTTTGAGCAAACATATCTAGATCACAATCCTTCTGATGTATCCAGACCTCTGTTGAATTGAGTACTGTTTGAGCAAGGCATCAGTTCATTACTATTTAACTATGTATTCCACACATTTCACTACTAGTTAAAATTAACTTTTATTATTAGAAACTGCTTTTAATTTGGTACCTCCAGTTGTTATTAATTTGTGCTTTATTTACTTAATTAGAAATTGTAGCTGCATCATTCTTTGTCATATTTTCATTACTAATTGCTGCCAATTTGTTACTGATGTATACAGTACTGTTTTTACTGTATAGTAACCTACTTTACAATTTATATTATACAGTACTGTAACATTAATTCTTAGGTGAGAACGATATACTATTAGTCCTACTTTATACTGAATTACTTACATTATATGCACCACTGTTTGCAACCAAACTAATTCTTAATGACATAATCTATTATATCTTGACTTATTTTACTACTAGGTGAATGCAGGCAGGAGGTGGTGCAAGGAATCTCACCCAGCATTAATGCTGCCTGGGAGCTAATTTTGGCCTCATTAAGCTGTGAGCCTAGAGTGCAGCTAACATTCTTCGAAAGACTTCACTGTTCTGCAAGACAGTTTGCTCAGCTTCTACATGTAAGGGGTTCTCTTTTTTTTGCTTATATTACTTTGCATATACAGTATTTCTGATAAGGCCCCCCCCCCTCAGTAGCTTACCAAGTTTATACACTTGTATTACCAAAACCTTGACTCCACACACCACAAGGTCTTTAAGACTCACTCATTTGTCACCTACTGGAAGCTATGACCAGAATCCGTCTCGCTCCACAAGGCAAGGGAAGCCTTTGAATCGGAGAACTCAAAAATGCGAGAGAGAAAAAAACAAAGTACACGAGTAACATAAGGTTATTACAGTACTTGAAGGAAATTAGGTTCCCCAGGTAAATAAGGCAAATGAATGTTGCTGTTGGGTAAATAACCTAACTGATGCCTGTGACTGCCACTAGATGGCAGCCTAAGTCACTCAAAAGTTCCAGCCAGCTCACCCCCATCACTTGTTTCCTTGGTGTGATATCTTTTTCACCTGCTGTCTCTTACAGCTAAGTGGTATTTATGCCACCCACATTGAGTTTCCACTACTCTCCGACTGGCCAGGATACCTTCCCTGAGATTGACTTGTCATTTTCCTGTAACCTACCAGAATTACCTGCTGTGAGGGATTGTTGGTTTTTACCCTTTACATATTGGACTACAGCTGGGTCAGTTGATGGGAGGAAGGAGTCTTTTTCTGGGAGAAGTCCCTTGGTGTCTCCATGAATCTTATCTCACTGAGATGGCTTCCCACTACTGAGCCTCATTAGTCATAAGAGTACTATCTCGTCTACCTGGAACCAGTGCCACAACCTAGCTTTCCTCTTAGAGGTGCAGAGAGCTATTGAAGTTTTCAGCTAATGACTGGAAATGACTTTGAATCAGCCAGTGTGCTCCTATTAGCTGCCGATGATGTCGTTGTGTGACATCATTGTAGAAACTGTTCATCTGAACATTTTTAAACCTTGCAGCATAAAAATAGTAGAGAAATAACGCTCACTCCAGGTGAGGTGAATGTTATGGAGTACTGAGCACTCATAACATATCTTAATGGCAAAGTTGAGTCAGACACAGGCTTATCCATGTTTCCAAGATCTCTGAAAATTTGTTGCTATGAAGATGTTTTTCAATGTCCTGTACACTTTGTCTTTAAAAGTTAGTGGTGTTACAGCTACAGTAGAGGATAGAAGGTAATTGACTGTACAGAGATCAGTTATTCTGGCTAACATGCTTGTATCATTTTGTATAATAGCTTTATCTATTAATATTAATATTTCATTGTAAATTTTGTTTACACCAGGTTACGAGTGTGATACAGCTATGGCTTGGTCAGGTAACACTACACCTTCTAATGGTGCGTTCTCTCGGCTGCGGAATATGCATGATCCAGATATGAGCTCATCTGAGGAGTGTCTCGTGTATACTCCTGGGGGAAGCAGTGGAAGTAAGGGTGATAATTTTATTCCATCCTCCTCGAGCTCCTCCCCTGGATTGCCTTCTAACCATCAAGCCAACATTGCTCACTCTGGAGCTGCATCTTTGTCTTCTGGTTAGAGCTTTTATATATACAATTACCATTTAGAAAGTTTAGAAATTAAGCTTCACTAAATGAGTTCCTTACAAAAATAATTGTGTTTTATAGACTTGTAACATTTTAAATTAATTTGTGTTTAGCTTGGTTTTATGAGTTATTATCAGTACTGTAGAGCTTAAATAATCCTTGCATTATATTACTTCATGTTAGCTTTCACTAGAAATGGATATAAGCCTCTGGATCAGGGGTTCTTAACCTTGTTACGATTACAGACCCCAGGTCCCAATATTGGGACATAATGCGATGACATATTAGGTTTGAAATCATCACCACCAGCCCTATTAGGTACCTTATATAGCTTCAAAATATGTCAATAACTTGGTTTTGCTTTACATATAAATACTGTAGCTTGGAACAAAACAGGTGAAAGAAAAACATAAGGATTTTATATTTTAATTATTGAATTTATTGTTTGTTTTTATACAATCAAAACTTGAAATCGAGGTATAATTACTGATGGTGATGGAATTCTAATCTAACAACAACTTTTCTGGGAGGAGTCCCATGGTGGCTCCTTGAAGCCATCTCAGTGAGATGGCTCTTCAGGGAACCATCAAGGCTCTTCCAGCAAGAGGCATTGCCTTACATTCAAAGTTCTTTTTTTCATTGTTCCAAGATTGAGTCCCATTCCCCCCCCCCCCTCCCCCTGGCAGTTAAGAACCCCCATTCTAGACCTTCACTTTGCCATGTCACAAAATAGCATTATTTTATTAAGTTCAGTTTTTTGCAAACATCCTTTCTTGAATTAAACTTTGTTATTTAGTAAATTTTTCATCCATTTTGGAAACAGTTTACTTCTTCTATTATTTATTGTTATTCTAAAAACATAATCAAGAGGCAAAAATATGCAAAGAGGCCTATTCATATGTTTAAACCAAAAGGGTTGACCAATTGAAGCATTATCATAAATATATCAAAATAAAAATAACATTCAGTAAACAAGTAAGATGATTATTTCATTTTTATTCTATTGTCTGCATTAGTTTTGAATTGTTCTGTGTGGTGAGCTCAGAATGGGAATTAATCTTTGTATACAGTATTGAATTCATAATTTGGCACAAGAGAATTTCACTGTGGAGGCAAATGAAGGAAAGTTTTTTAAGATGATATGACCATATTGAGAAATTTCAAGTAAGATTGGTAAAACATATGCATGTCAGTGCAGTATTGCATAGGGAAAATAATATAGGGATAGATTGTGGAAAAATGTTTTAAGATATAAATCTTGATTTAAAACTATCCATAAGCAGTAGGTTTGACTCGTTCTAAGTTGTGGTCATCCTTGTTAGTGGGTGGTTCTGTATAGAACAACGCATGAGAGAGAACAAGGTATAATTAACATAGTGTGGATTGTGTGAAATGGTAGCATTTTATCGGAAATAATGTTTAAAATTGGTTAAGATGTAAATGTCACTTAACAGATCACTTTTGTGAATAAAGTGTGAAAAAGCCATTGCCCCATATTAGTTTGAGGGGGAATATATGCATAAGCAGAATGAGGAAATTTGTGCTTGATCTATCTCATTTTCTTAATGTATGCTTACAGATAATAGAATTAAAATGCTTGTAAAATTTTGTATTATTTTAGTTTAATACTTGCCCAGCCCGGAACAGTCAAATACCAACTATTGTATTGTGAATGTTAATAAGTGAGTATTTGACTTTAGCATATCTGGCAACCAGCTGATGGAATTAATTTTTTATATGGTGTGTTTTTCTCAAATAGAAGTTAATGTTATGCATAGGCCTAGGTAAGATCTTTGTTACATTGATTTGGACAAAACCAGATTGAAAATTTCCAAAATCTGAACTATTGCTGACTAAAATACAAATACACTAAATACAAAAAAGTCAGATAAAGAAGCAAATGTAGCATGACAGTGGAATGAAATGTGAACTTCATCAAATTATACTATTAATAGGAAACAGTCTTTTTATTTAAAATATTGTAGTTTTTGTTTATTGCTTGTTTAGATACTGCATTAGCTTGCATAAGGTGGTGAACATTCTCAACCTAAAGCATAATTTTGCAGTAATGTTGGAACTAACCCTCTAGTTTTGTTTGCCATTTAATGGCAAATATTGTATTGTCTTGTATTGCCATTCACACTGTATTCCCACTAATATGTCACAAACTAAATCTTCTTGCAATATTGCATATACAGTACAGTGGAACCTCAATTTGGCTAATCAAAGAACACATTGTTCTGCCAGAACAGTGTGTTATGCCAGAGTTACTCACCCAATTAGACGAACAAGAGTATGCTGTAGCAGGGATGTATAGATTTGCTTAGGATGTTGGGGCCGAGTTCACAGATGGAGGCAACATTGCAAGAAATAGTTGGGGGCCTTGGGAAAGCCATTGAGCATACACTGTATTTAAAACCAAATTCTATGATTCATTATAATTTTGAAATTCCTCAGTTTTTATTAACTAATATGGGTACCTTTTCCTTTGAAAAGGAGATTTCAAAGCTAGTGTGTGAGAAATATGCTAAATATAGTTAAATACAGGTATCTTTACAGACAGGTTCTTTTGGTGGTTGCTATTCATATGACAGGTTAAAATTAAAGTATCGTTCAGTGAAAGCAGCCCACAGAGCATGGGAACTATTAGGGTATAAATGGTAACATGCTTAATATGACTCCACTCACGTTTTTAATGATTTTTGTAGATGGAATCAACGTTATAGGTAACAGTTGGAACCTTGGTCAAGCTATTGATGATATTTAAAACCAAATTCTATGGTTTGTTTTCATTTTAAGTTTGCAAGATTTTCGTTCACTCAGGTATGGCCCTGCTACCATCTGAAAGTAAGTTTTGAGGCTGGGGATGTGAGGAACATGCTAGATGTGGTTACATTTTTTTGCAGACCTGTTCATTTGGTATTTGTCTTTTATATTATAGGTTGAAATTTAAATTTTACAAAGTGAAATTAGCCCATAGGGCATGGGAAATGCATCCTGGAGGCATCTGCAGTTGCAACAAATTTGAGTTTGTCCCATATAGTTTGTTGAATCGAGGTTGTGCTGTACTTTAAAATGAGTTATTCACCTATTTACCTGTTTCTCTAGGGTACATCATATGGAAAAAAATGTCTTGTAATAAATTTTCATGTAACAAATGTTCAAGCTTATTTATTTTGTTAAAGATTTTAAATTTTGTTCAAGTTTTCATAACGTACCTGGTTTAAAATATGTAATAAAGTGTTTAGAGTGTAAGTCCCTCCCTCTATACTGTACATTACTTTGAGTGTAACTGCTTTTTTCAGCATCCACATCATTGTCCCTCGCCACCTCTGGCCATGACTTCTCCTCTCACTTACTCCACCACCCCTTCTGATGTAGTACTACTGCTACTACTTCTCAAACCTACCCTACTTCCTTCTCTGACCTGCTGCTACTACTCCTCCTACCTACTACTACTCCTCCTACCTACTACTACTCCTCCTCCTACCTACTACAGTACTACTACTACTCCTACCTACTACTCTTCCTTCTACCTACTACTACTACGTACCTACTACTACTACTACTACTCCTCCTTCGACCTACTACTACTACTACTCCTCCTCCGACCTACTACAGTACTACTACTCCTCCTTCAACCTACTACAGTACTACTATTCCTCCTCCTACCTACTACTACCACTCCTCCTTCTATCTACTACTACCACTCCTCCTTCTATCTACTACTACCAGTCCTCCTCCTACCTACTACTACTCCTCCTCCTGCCTACTACTACTCCTACCTACTACAGTACTACTACTGCGACCTACTACCCCTCATCTGACCACCACCTCCGATATATTCCTACCTACTGCTGCAAACTACTACTACTCCAGCCGACTCCTCTTCCTTCAACCAACTTCTCCTCCTCCTTCCTCCTCCCCCCCTCCTTCCCTCTTTCTTCCTCCTTCCCCCTCCTTCCTTCTTCCCCCTCCTTCCTTCCTTCTTCCCCCTCCTTCCTCCTTGTTTTCCTCCTCCTCCTACTCCTTCCTTTCCTCTTCTATCCCCTACTCCTTCCTTCTTGTTTTTTCTCCTCCTCCTCCCTTTCCTCTTCCATCTCCTACTTTCTTCTTGTTTTTTCTCCTCCTCTTCCATCTCCTCCTTCACTTCTTCTCCCATCTCCTCCTTCACTTCTTCTCCCATCTCCTTCTCCTCCTTCCCTTCCTCTTCCATCTCCTCATCCCCTTCCTCTTCCATTTCCTTCTTCCCTTCCTCCTCATTACCTTCCTCCCCTCCTTCCTTTCTTCTTTCTCCTTGCTTTTCCTCCTCCTCTTCCCCTTCCTCTTCCATCTCCTCCTTTCTTATCCTTGTTTTTCCTCCTCCTTCCCTTTCTCTTCTATCTCCTCCTCCCCTTCCTCCTCCTCCTCCTCACTCCTCCTCCTCCTTTCTTCTACTTCTTTTCCCTCCTCCCCTCTTCCCTTCCTTTTCTTCTCTTCTCCTTTCTTCTCCACCTCCTCTTCTCCCCCCCCCCTCTCCCAGTGCTATATAATCGCAGAGGCTTGGCGCTTCCTCCTGATAGTTCCCTTCCCTTCTCCCCCTCCCCTACCTACTCCTATATTCTACTCTGTTATTTAAAATTTTCATGGAGTGGACAAGAGTTAGCCTGGAGAAGATATGGGAGCATTTCAGGAAAAGAAGGTTGAGACATTCAAATTATTACTGTCCATTCACCATGTCTTTCAAACAACACAGCATCATGGAAAGTCAGCACCACTTTACTCCATCAAATCATCCACATCAACACTCCATCATAAAACTAGGAGTATATTGGTCCTTGTGAACTGTTATATACAAACTACTGTACTTGTAAATACAGATGGATTGAATACATTATTCTTTATTCTTTTTCTCTTCTTATTTTTCAGGAAACAGTATTGACTGTAGCACTACTGCTCCTCCACCTTCCCCTGCATCTCCAACGTTACACACTAATCATGTTGGGACATCCGCTGGTGTTGGGGTGCTACGGAGGTCTAGTGTTCTTTCATCCCCTGTCCCTGCTCGCTCTGCTATTCCTCCACACCTGCCGCCAGTGATCCCACCCTCCTCTGTTCCACATCCCTCCACTTTGCCTGTTGGTTTAGTGCCAGCTGGTCCTCCATCAACTCCTCCAAGTGCTGCTGCTGCTCCATCCCCTCCGCCACCACCACCGCCACCACCGCCCCCATTAGTATCAGCTCCTCCTCTGTCTCAGGTCTCTGTAATCACTAGCTCTTCACCACAATTGGCTTCAATTGTTGCAACAAGTACTACTACCACCGTCAGCTCTCCAACTCGAGTGTCCAATGTTCCCTCCAGTACTCCTAGTGGTAACAACTCTTCCTCCATTAGTATTGTTTCAACCACCACTACCACCACCTCTACCAGCACTAACACATCTGCTGTCACAACTAGCAATGGAGGACCTATGTATAACTGGCAAGCCACCATGACAACTGTAAAAGAGAGGTATGGTGTAATTGGTACAGTAGAACAATACACACACACCTTACTTATACTGTTGACATATAAATTACATGTAATGTGTCTTTTTAATATTATTGTTATATTTCTTGCAGGTAGAATCAATACTATAGGAGTGTGTTTGCAGCCCATCCTTTCGTTTTGGTAATACTGTACTAATAGTAACGACAAGGAGCATATTAGATATACCGACATACAACACAATTAGAAAGTAGAAATTGATACTAATGAATTTGGACAGACTGGAAAAGATTTTCTATTTATGTTGCAAAGACAAACTAAACTAAACTAACCTAACTAGGCCTAATACATGATATCTGAGGCCTAATATAGTACATATGTGTGCTATACTAGGCCTAGTAATATTTGTTTGTTTTTAGCTTAATTTTTTCTTTTTTTACTCTATAAGGTGAATAGTACAAAATTATACTATCTAATTGCTTAGACCATCAATCTTTGCACTATTGTACTATGGTGCACATAGTTACAAAACTAATGTCTAAACAGAAGGATGGGTTGGTGTTTGTCCAAAGTTGGAGTCCAAGAGCTTGAGACTAGTCTCATCCAACTTTGCAGGGAAAATGGTCTGGGGTTAAGAAATATCAGCTTGTGTAACCCAACTACCCATGCAGTTTTGTTATGCAGTCTGAAATTAAATTGCTGATGAGTTTTCCATAGAGTTTACCATGCATTTTGATGATTTACCTGAAAACAGTGATCTAAATTCATTCAGGCTACAGTGATGAAAATAATGAGCAGGGAAGATGGTTACAGTAATGAAAATAGTGAGTAGTGAAGATGGTATATACAGTGAAGATAGTTATACAGTGATGATAGTATATTAAAGGAAAGATGTAAGATGATGGGAGAGGGAGGACAAGGGGATGATGAGGGGGTGGTAGGACAAGGTATGTGATGGGGTGGTAGGATAAGGGATGATTAGGGAGTGGTAGGACAAAGTATGTTGAGGGAATGGTAGGACAAGGGATGATGAGGGGGTAGTAGGACAAGGGATGATGAGGGGGTGGTAGGATAAGGGATGATGAGGGGGGGTGGTAGGAGAAGGGATGATAAGGGGGTGGTAGGACAAGGGATGATGAGGGATGTGGTAGGACAAAAGATGATGAGGGGTGGTAGAACAAGGGATGATGAGGGGGGTGGTAGAACAAAGGAGGGGAGAAGAGGTGAAATGCTGTAAAAAAGAGGGGAAATGAAGAGGGAAGAGGAAAAAGGGTGAGATGGATTCCCTCTATATATAGATATAAATGGAAATGTCCTGTTTGAGGTTGGAGGCCAAACAGGGAAGATGGAAGAAGGGATGAAAAGAGTGGAGGAGGAGGTAAGAGGGGAGAATGGGGTTGATAGGAGAATGGAGGAGGGGGGGGGGGTAGACTCTCCCAGGCACCGCCTGGTAGCCCCCTCCCCCCTAGTGTTTTATAGTTGTAACTCACTGATTCATTAACTTTATGAAATACTGTTCTACTCAGTATCCTGGCAAAATATAAATGCATTTTATTTGTACACATGTACAACCACCGACTACAAAAATTTTGGGAAGTTGTAAGACTTGCACCCAAACACCCTACAGCACTTGTGCTATTATTGGCACAGATATTTCATCAAATCGCTTCAACATTCTAGGGCCGCATGCATCAGAAAATATGTTTTCTGATGCATGTTGGCTTGGGGACCATTCAAGGTTTGACAAAGTTTAACAAAACTATTTTTTCATTTGTAGTTAACTGTTTTACATTTTTTAATTCTACATAAAATGTATCCTTAATCCACTTACTAATGGCATTAGGAAGATGAAAAGTTGAATTTAGTTTACAGACCCCCAGTACTGTATTGTACTACCCTTGCTGACCCTCCAGGGGTTCATGGACTCCAGGTTGGGAACAACAGTTTTAATACTTGAAGATTTTGTAATATCTTGGGGAAGCTTTTAAGTGAGATTGTGCCCTTTAAAGAGGGTAAAATTTCAATGTTAACAAGGCATCAAAATTATAAATTTGAAGACATTTAGCAAATTTCCTTCTTGCAGATTTGCATTCTTGTTCAACAATGAGATACTCAGTGATGTACATTTCCTGGTTGGAAAAGGCGACTCAAGGCAGCGTATACCAGCACACAAGTTTGTCTTGGCAGTTGGCAGTGCTGTGTTTGATGCTATGTTTAATGGACAACTGAGCACTCGCCAGGAAGAAATTGAATTACCTGATGTGGAGCCACAGGCATTTCTTGCACTCTTGCGGTTCCTTTACAGGTTAGCATCTCAATTAATTATTTGATAGGGATATGACGGACCATCACTATCCCTCCATGCTTAAGTGCTGACCAAATTTTGCTGCTTTTATCTTTAAGCTTAACAGCAATGTTCATAAATTCTCAATTTTTTATTTAAAATTTAGATTCTTAACTTTTTATTTTTAATTCCACAGTGATGAGGTTCAGATTGGTCCTGAAACAGTGATGACTGTATTGTACACAGCAAAAAAGTATGCTGTTCCTGCCCTTGAGCAAGCTTGTGTGGATTTTCTCAAACGCAACTTGTCTTCTGATAATGCATTCATGCTTTTAACTCAGGTGGGCCAACACTGTGAAAGATGTAGTGATAAGTTGTTCTTCAGTCTTTGGTTTAACATTATTTCTTTATAATTATTAATGCTATTTATGAAGCCTGCTACATCAATGTGTACTGGTGATTTACTCAGCATTTTTCCAATTTGTATGAGCACTATGTCTCATTGATGTCATCTAGGGAGCTGCAATATAAACAAATGGTTGAATATTTGAGGAATGTTCATAGAATTGTATATTCACTTACATATTTTTTAGGCTCTGGGAGAAAATCATAATCAACATTCTTTCATTCTGCTCAGTCATGTATACTAAATAATGCAGTATTTTTTGTATCACTTATTCTTGTCTAAGACTATTTTAATCAAGGCTAAAGATTCTTGGTATTACTAAAATTAGCATATCCTAGGATCTATGACACTTGTTTGAACTTCAATTATTGTCTCCCAGCTGCACAAGCCACTCTTTCATCAACAACTTGGCAACTGATCAAATGTGCTAAAAACTGTCCAGTTCAAAATCATTTTAACTTTAGTCTAAAGTTATAAATTGCAGCAGTTTGTAGGCCATAGGTTGTTACAGATTTTTTTTTCCAGGCTCGACTCTTTGATGAACCACAACTAGCTGCTTTGTGTCTGGAGACAATAGATAAAAATACAGCTGATTCATTAGCAGCAGAGGGCTTCACAGATATTGATAGCAACACACTGTGCTTAGTGCTAGAACGAGACACACTACGAATTCGAGAGGCTAAGCTTTTTGAAGCAACAGTCAGGTAATGCTATAATGACATAATTGCTGTATTGATGACTTCCAGGTTTCTTGAGTATATTTAGTGCCATTAATTTAAACTACGATTTTGCTCTACAATAATTGAGCAGCAAACTAATTGGCATGATTCATATGTATGGTTGTAAGATGGTGTGGTTAGAATGTAAAAAATCCAATGCTAAAGCAAAAAAAAAAAAAAAGACTGAGAAATAATGTTCAATATATGTGATGTTAGGAGAAAACCTGGTTGATACCTGGTTGATGGGGTTCTGGGAGTTCTTCTACTCCCCAAGCCCGGCCCGGGGCTAGACTTGACTTGTGAGAGTTTGGTCCACCAGGCTGTTGCTTGGAGCGGCCCGTAGGCCAACATACCCACCACAGCCCGGTTGGTCCGGCACTCCTTGAAGGAAACAATCTAGTTTCCTCTTGAAGATGTCCACGGTTGTTCCTGTAATATTTATGATGCTCGTTGGTAGGACGTTGAACAACCGTGGACCTCTGATGTTCATACAGTGTTCTCTGATTGTGCCCATGGCACCTCTGCTCTTCACTGGTTCTCATCTGCATTTTCTTCCATGTCGTTCACTCCAGTACGTTGTTATTTTACTGTGCAGATTTGGGACCTGGCGCTCCAGTATTTTCCATGTGTATATTATTTGGTATCTCTCTCGTCTCCTTTCTAGTGAGTACATTTGGAGAGCTTTGAGACGATCCCAATAATTTAGGTGCTTAATCTCGTCTATGCATGCCATATATGTACTCTGTATTCCCTCAAGTTCAGCACACACTGTCCTGCTCTGTAGGGGGAAGTGAGTATTGAGCAGTACTCAAGATGGGACAACACAAGTGATTTGAAGAGTATAACCATTGTGATGGGATCTCTGGACTTGAAGGTTCTTGTAATCCATCCTATCATTTTTCTGGCTGACGCAATACTTGCTTGGTTATGCTCCCTAAACGTTAGGTCATCGGACATCAATATTCCCAAATCCTTGACATGCTGTTTTCCTACTATGGGCAGATTCGATTGTGTTTTGTACCCTGTATTATGTTTAAGATCCTCATTTTTGCCGTATCTGAGTACGTGGAGTGTATCACCGTTAAACATCATGTTATTTTCTGCTGCCCAATCGAAAACTTTGTTAATATCTGTTTGTAGTTTATCAATGTCTTCAGCAGAGGTAATTTTCATGCTGATTTTTGTATCATCTGCAAAGGATGACACGAAGCTGTGACTTGAGTTTTTGTCTATATCTGATATGAGAATAAGGAACAGCAGTGGTGCAAGGACTGTACCTTGAAGTACAGAGCTTTTAACTGCGCTCGGACTCGATTTTACTTGATTGACTGTTACTCTTTGTGTTCTGTTCGACAGGAAATTGAGTATCCAGCATCCTGCTTTACCAGTTATACCCATTGACCTCATTTTGTGTGCAATTACTCCATGGTCACATTTGTCGAATGCCTTTGCAAAATCTGTGTATACGACATCCGCATTATGTTTTTCCTCTACTGCCTCAGTGATTTTGTCATAGTGGTCAAGTAGCTGTGAGAGGCATGATCTTCCTGCTCTAAATCCATGTTGGCCTGGATTGTGGAGGTCATTGATTGTGGAGAATAGATGGAATAAGTCATAAAAATATCTTAGAGAGAAATGGAATGCTAAAATCAGCAAACCACAAGATTTGAGATGGTTTGGGTATGTTGAATGAATGGATGATGATAGAACAAAAATGCATTCAAGGGAATTTAATGGTAGGATGAGAAAATGAAGGCCTGGAGGAGGGTGTACAAACATGGCTAGTGCCTGTGGGTATGTTTTCACTTGTCATCCCTGTTGGTGGTGCACTAGTAGGATCTTGAATCTTTGCACTTATATTTTTATTATTTATTTATTTACAGTATATACAAGAAGGTACATTGGATTTATGAGAGTACATAGCATTGATGTTTTTATATTTTTGTAAAGCCACAAACATGCATAGTGTTTCGGGCATTTTAATAACAAATTTTCACATTTCTGCTTCTTACTTTTTTCTTTTCCTTTGAGACCTGAATAAATTTAGTTCAAATTAGTAATAATACTAGTAATATCATCATCTTCAGGTGGTCTGAAGCTGAATGTGAACGTGATGGTTTGTCTGTAACAAGCACCAATCAGAGAACAGTTTTAGGGAGAGCATTGTCATTGGTAAGATTCCCACTCATGACTGTTGAAGAGTTTGCTCAAGGTCCTGCACAGTCAGGGATTTTAACAGATCGGGAAGTGGTTCAGCTGTTTCTCCATTTTACTGTGAGTTGAGATTTTTTTTTTTTTCATTTTATGAAATACAGTATGTATCTAAATATAACAATATTGATCATTAAAAACCTCATATGGTATAAATTAAATTAATTAATTATACTCTTGAATTTTCAGGTAAACCCTAAACCACCTGTAAATTTCTTGGATGTTCCTCGGTGTTGTATGACTGGCAAAGAACAGACTGTGTGCCGATTTCAGCAAATAGAATCTCGTTGGGGTTATTCTGGCACTAGTGATAGAATTCGGTAACGTACACCATAGTTTTATCACATACTGATGATTAAAGTATTAACCAGGAATCCTAGACAATAAATAATTTATTGTTAGATTAATGGCTTTTGTAATAAACGATTCTTATTTTCCAGCTTTATTGTGGATCGTCGCATCTTTGTTGTTGGTTTCGGAATGTATGGATCCATTCATGGTCCTTCTGAATATGAAGTGACAATCCAAATCATTCACACTGCCACAGGAAAGGTATAGTAACATGACATTCTATTGAAGTGGTGTGTGTAGTCCTTTATAATGGTGTGATGCTTACATATTAACAAAGTACTGTACAGTACTGTTGTTATTTATTTAAGAGCTTCCTTTGAAAATCTCAATGACATTTTGGTATTTTGATTTTCATAATTGTATTTTATATAATGGTTGAAGTTTTAGTTTTAAAAATAATAAGCAATAATGTTCCCTTTTTGCAGTTTTTAAGAAATATAATGTTAAAATTAAATACTGTTGCTTAAGTCATGTGGCTTGCTAAACTCTTAATGGATAATATCTGCACACAGCATCATCCTGGGCTAGCTTGCAGTTTGGTTGTTCTCTGCACTGCCATGTTCTTTAAGTAACCATTTCCAAAGTAGCTCCACTTTTAAAAAGGGCAGTTTTTAAATTTTATATATATTTTAAATTGTGTTTGCAGTACTGTATCAATAAAAAAAGTGCTGTAACGTTATGTAAGTGTAATTGAACGTGATATTCAAACATTTTAATTTCACACAAAACTGCAGTAATTTTATTTCCCAACCTTAAGAATTTGCATAACCTATTAGGCTCTTATTATTATTAAATGGCACCAATAATGATTTAATTTCATGATGTGCAGAATGATTTTTCACAGCCTAACAAGAAATGAATACATGCCATAATCAGTTTTATTCATGGCATACAGTATATTTTTGCTCTACATTATATCAACCCATGTGCCTTTATGCATGAAAATTCCCATATGGTCATGCTGTGACTAGCATTAAAGGCACTGCTACATTTGGGTTGATAAAGGAAAGTTAGAAGATGTATGATTGTAGCCTCTGGTCAAGAGAGATCTCTTATGGCATTGAGCCCCCCCCCCCCCAAAAAAAAAAAAAAAAAAAAAATTGCACTTCTTCGGTACTCACACAACCATTATGACAATAGCATGCTGGTCAACTGTGGTTGTGATATTTTTAGTTATTGGATGACGAGAGTGATTATTTGCATATTAGTGATGAAACAAGGGTCTTCCTTCCTTAAGGTGTGAAAGTAGTGGATGATACAGACAAGGAAAATAGCAATAACACATCAGAAAAAACTATAAAGCAGACTTGAGGGTTAAAGGAACTAAACAATTAAGTTGGGTTAGTACAATTTAAACAATTTCTTACAGCAATTGTGAGAGGAGAAATACCTCCTGGTAATCAATGAGGTTTCATTTGTGGCCCTGTCAGTACTATGACGTTCTCTATTAAAGTTTCCAGGAAGTTTTCAAGCTGGAATCTCATTCAGATTTGAAATAATATGATGAGAATTTTTAGAAGTTTACAGCGACAGTTTCAAGAGAAAGTGACTATAACAAAAAATAATACAGTACTATAGTTAAAATACCACAGATGTAACAAAAAAACCCACTTAAACTATACACTATAAATGCAAAAACGTGTTGATGTTTTGGTCTGTCTTGGGCACCCTTTTTACTTTTTTCATATCACCTTTTTTTCATTTCTCAAGTGTGAGTTTAAATGACTATAGTTTGAAGAAGAGGTACTGTAATTGTTAATTCAGTTTGATGTTGACACTTGCTTTCCTCTTGAGAAATTCATTTGGAAAATATATTTTCTGGGAGGGCTCCTATGGTGGTTCTCTGTTGCTAACTTCCTGGATAGCTCCACCCAGTCCAATCCATGCCAGGCTCTTGTAAGTCATTGTAAGCCTACTGGGTACCAGAGGTCAAAACCTGGCTCCCTCTAAAGAGGCATAAGGAGCAGGGGATCTTAGATCATGCTAATGAAGAAAAGGCCACTAGAACGGTAGGCGAACCCAAGCATGCCATCAGCAAGGTAGGCTTACAATGACTCGCAAGGGCCTGGCATGGAATGACTCACAAGGGCCTGGCATGGAATGACTCACAAGGGCCTGGCATGGAATGAATTGGCTTTCCAGGTAGTTTGAACCAAGGATTAAGACAGACGCATTTCATTACATTCAATTCTGTTTTTTGTTGTTGTTGTTGTTTTAAAGACAGTTCTGTATTTGTACTGAAATATTTAAAATAATTAAGGTTTAACATTTAATTTTTTTTGTTACAAATATTTAAGAATCATTAAAGCTACTGAAAGTCACATGTAATGTACACACTAATGCTGTACATTGGATTTTCATTGATTAAGGAAATAAAAGTATTAGTGTCCAAATCTATATTACTTATACGGTATATAGTTGGGTCATTGCAGTTCAAATATGTTATTAATATGAATATAGTATATATTACTAACATAAAGAGTATTCATATAAAGTATTAATACTGTATATAGTATCCATATACAGTATGTGTATATAGTACTAATATATATACTGTATATATATATATATATATATATATATATATATATATATATATATATATATATATATATATATATATATATATATATATATATATATATATATATATAAATAATATATACACACAGTGGTACCTCAGCTTACGAATTTAATCCTTTCCCAGAGACAGCTTGTAAGCCAAATATTCGTAAACTGAAGCTGATTTTCCCCATAAGAAATATTGTAAATTGAATTAATCCATTCCAGACTCCCCCAAAAATTAACTTCAAAGTAAATTTTATACTTAATTCACCCAAATCTTCAGTACTAAAGTCTGTACAAGTTATTACTTACCTTTACTGATGACTCTTGTCGGCATATGGAAGATTGTGAGGAAGGGGAAAGAGGAGAGGTGTTAGTGTTTGGAAAGGGAGTCCCCTTCCATTATAACATCAGGCAGTGATGACTTCTCTGAGGTACACACTCTGGCACGTTTTGCCTGCATGCCACTAAAACCTTCTTGTGGCTCACTGCTTGTTATTCTCATTAAAAACCTGTCTAGCGACACTTGTTTTTTCCTACATTGTAACACTTTTCTGAAGTGAGACATCACATTGTAATTAAAAAGGTTAACACAACAGTCTGCTACAGCTTGATTTGGATGACATTTTTCAGCAAAACTCTGCAATTCTTCCCATACTGCACACATCTTCTTAATAAATGAGGAAAGAACATCCTCTACTCTACATCAACAACCCTCATACCATTTTCATATTTACGAATGATCTCTTGTTTATCCTCTATGGTCATTCTCGCATGTGTTTTCTTGGCTTGAACTTTACCACTGGCTTTCTTGGGACCCATGGTGAGATATATAATAACAACTTTTATGTACAAATACCCAAAAATCTGAAAAAACTAATTCTTTACAAAGAATTCAGGCGCAATTGTCACTAGTTGGGAGGCACTGGTAAACGGAGGCGCGTTCATCGTGCCACCATGCGCTAGGTCAGCCATGTGCGTATCAACAAACTTCATTTCCCGAGGCAAACCTCGTAACCCGATTCAGATTTTACGAAGAAATTGGGCTCTTAACCCAAAAAGTTCATAAATAGGGGCATTCATAAACTGAGGTGTCACTGTAACATACAGTATGTGGCTCATGTTCTCAATTATAAGTATTTTTAAATGTAAATAGATACATACATAAAAACTCCCTCCATACCATACATATGATATGGAACTTTCCATATCAACATATGGAACTTTCTATAGGAATTTTTTTTTTATATATATAGGAACTTTTCTCCTTTTCCTGTATTGCTCTCGTATTTCTTCTGGGCTCGTATTTCTTTCCAGGCTAATCACCCTGTGATTAGTGGAAAATGGGGTAATGGTGACCCAAAGAGTGAAAATTCTTTGGAGACCTCAAAATAGTATACTACCAGTATGTGTAACCAAATTTTGTAGGTTTTAAGTGTATACTGACATTCCTAAATATGTTGTTGAAATTGTATCATTAAATATATTTCCCTTCACTATGAACAATGGACATTTTGAATGATGAAGGATAATCTGTGTGCCTGTGTGTAAGAAATGCATATTAATATCTCACATTCTGTTTAATTAATGTATGCTTCATCATTTATATGTGACTGACTTCAGTGTGGTGTTAAATTTTAGGTGTGTGCAAGCAACGACACAAGCTTTACATCTGATGGTACTGTGAATACATTTCGGGTTATGTTCAAGGAACCTGTTGAGGTATTGCCCAATACTAACTACACTGCTTATGCTACATTAAAGGTGAGACTTCACACAATAACTACAACATGAATTATTCCACATTGCATGATTTTCTTGTGCCATCTTGTTATATTTACTTATAAATTAAATTTTCAAAACTGTGTAGCATGACTGTAAAGTTTAATTCCTACAATCTTTAAACTTTTGGTAGTATACTTATTTAGTTTCAGAACATAATTTTTAATTTTCAGACCAACTTTTCTGAGAGGAGCCCCTTCGGCTTCCTGGAGCTATCGGGCTAATATGCAATTCATTAGACCAGCGCATTAGTTATATGAGTTCAGCCAACGGGGGACCATGAGCCAGAACTTGACCCCCTCAGAGAGGCACAGGGAGCAATGGCCCTTTAAAACCCCATTGGTTGGGGGTTTTCCTTATCTGCCATCAACTGGGGTTAAGCACCCAAAAAAGGTGGCCATAACAAAACAGACCCCACATGGTAAGAAAATTGCAATCAAAAACCGAACAGTGAGGCAGAACTCCCTCCAATCCCAAGGAAACAAGCAAACCTCACACTCGCTCGCCGTGCCTTCACCCCTCCCAACCTAGCCATTCTAGTTCGTTAACTAATGCAATCTAGGGCGGTTATCATCATTGGCCTTGATTTCTCCTCAGTGTTTGCCTTAGTGGTGTCCTCTGCTTTTCGTGGTTTGGTGGCCAGGTGTACCTGAAGTGTACCAGACTGCATGATGCTTAAGGCGACAGTCCTTAAGTGCCCTGCCTGCGAGTACTACTCTTGCATGCTAGGGTTCTCTTCCCTCGTGCATGCGGGAAACCATTTCCGTAGGGGTGATTGCTGCTTGGCATTTAGCATGCCCTTGGGGCTGGCTGGGGTTTCGTGGCCCTTGTTTGGTCTTGGGTAGGGAGTGGTATCATGCTGGTTGGGGCATTAAGGTGTTGTGCAGCCTGCCTCCCTATGCGGCGGCCGGTTCCTGTTTCCGCTGGGGATGTTGTACTTTTGCGGGGTTTTTCTTTTGTTTTCCTTGCCTGATGGGAGATCTGCCTGGTGTTGCTATAGATCCACTTATTATATTTTGGTGGCTCTCTGCTAGGCCCCTGTGTTTGCACATGTCGCATGGGTTTCAGTGTTTTGATCTCCCCCTTGTTAGCTCTGGGTCTTAACTGGTTAGCAACATCTTGCCCGGGTTTCCCGTAGCAGTCAGCCTTCAGCCTATTGGCCCTGGAAAACCCTGTCGGGGCTCATTGGACCTATGGATGTATCTTTCGAGTTCCACCTCGCCTCGTACGAGTTTGAAGGTTGGTTTGTACCCCTTGTCTCAGGGTGACAGTTACCGTTTTTGTTTCCGTCATGCTGCCTGTTGGGTCACCGACACTTTTGACCCGGAGTCTTGCGAGTCGTGTTCTCTGCTTTTTCTCCAGTACTATTCTGATGACATTACTGTCAGGGTACAGGCAGCATCCTCATTGCAGGTTAGGTTCAGGTTGCTTTCCCACCTGGATGCCCTGCAGCTGCCCACTTTGGTTATTGGGACTCAGACCTGGGGGCGTTAGTTGCTTCGACTTTGATTCAGTCTGCGCTCCCTGGTCCTTTCCCTGTTGTTCACCCTTCTTCACCCCATCTCCGTGCTTCCGGCTCTCAAACGTCTGAGGGTTTCAGAGTCGGGGCAGAGTTTAGTTGGCAATAAGACTCGGGCAGCTTTGGGGGCTGCCCCATTCAGGTTGGGGACGGAGGCATTCAAGCTGGTTCCTCCTACCGAGGCTTCTGTGTGTGCCACCAGCAGACCTCCCCCTTTTCAACCTTTCCCCTGGACTCTTATCTTTTCTTTAGGGGTAGAGGATATAGAGGACTGCTCTGCCCTGGGTCCCGACTTTGGGGATCCCGGGACTGGGGAGAAGTCGACCTGGGGGCTTTTGGGCCCCTTTGATCCTGCTTGGGTGTTGGTGCCCTCTTCATGGTGCTCGTTGCAGGGGGAGGGTTTCTTAATCCCCCCCTTTCCTGTATAAGTATGATTTGGGGTCAGCTCCTCCCCGGGCTCAGTTCCACAGCTCCTTAGGGTTTCTCAGCCCTGTCCTTCCGGAGGTTTTCTGCCTCTTGTATCTTCCCTCTGGAGGCTCTTGCTGCATACCTCGTGTGAGACCCAGATTTCACCTCCATGATGGATCCGTCCTTATTTGAGTTTGGTTCTTCTTCCCTGTATAGGGTGCGTTTGAAGGTTCCAGAGCTTTCCTGGCTGACAGACAGCCCATTCTTTTCGTTGAGGGGCATAGAGTGGGTTCTGTCGGTTCTGCACGCTTGAATGGCAAGAAACATCTACCATTCTGCAGGTTTACCTCGGGGGGGGGGGGGGGGGCGAGTTGGAGCACTTAATGCTTGCTTGTTCGCCCCTGTGCATTCTCAGGATGTTGGCCTTGTCCAGCTGCACGTGCAAGTTACTACCCTTTTGGCATCCTTGGTTGCTGAGGATTTGAGTGCCTGTGGGCATTTGGCTTCGGTCTTGCACTTCTTTTTCCTTCTCGAGCTGTCTTTGACCCGGCTTCAGGAGGATGTGAAGGCGTTGGCCGGGCGTCGGCCACACTGTTGAGGCAGTTTGCACATATCCTGAAGGAGGCGGTGTGTCTGTTCTTTGTTTCTCGCCTTGCGTGTTGACAGGGTGTGCTCACTCTCTTTGGAATCTGCTTGGGCCCTGGCTCTTAGGTTTTTGTCGCTGTTTGTCCGTTGCTGTTTGCGGAGTCTGCTATCACGCAGTTTCTGCAGGCGGCTTCGTCTAGTTGTCGTCCTATGTCGGACTTGTTGGTTCTCTGGGGTGGCTGTTCTCGGTCTTCTCAAAAGTGTCGTGCCAGGGCTTGGAGTTCCGCTGGTCTGGTTCGAGGTGGGCCATTGGTGCCAGCTTCTAAGCCGACATTATCTTTGGAGCCAGCATTGTCTGGTCAGTGTGATGATCGCTCTGTTCATCGGCCGGCTTCTTGTAAAAGGCGTCGGCCATTTGCAGTTCGCCCTGTTGACAGGGCAATGAGGGGGAGGCTCTCTCTGTTTGCTCGCGCTTGGTCCCATGATTTGTGGCCGTTTTCGGTCATGTCGTCTGGCCTGTGATGGCGTTGGGTGGCTCCTGTTGGAAATATCCAACACTTATTTACTAGTCCCTAATATAATAGGATGTATTTCCTGTATTAGGCATCATAATCATTCAATACTCATTTACTAATCCTTAGTACAACAGGATGTTGTACCTCTTCGTGTCGGTGTGGTTGTGGCGTTTCATGATTTCTGTGGCACCCTTCACTGATTGTGGAGCCTTCGTGGTGGACGCCCTTCGGCACGACTGGTCGAGGTGGGGTTACCTGTACCTCTTCCCTAGTCCGGCCGTTGCTGCGGGTTCTGGCTCAGTTGGACTCTATGCACTGGAGAATCATCCTAGTGGCCACTTGATGGCGGGCCCAGCCTTGGTTCAGGCACTGCTTGCTCGATGTCCACGCCTGGGGCGTTTTCCGCGGATCGGCTTCTTTCAGCAGCTCGGACAAGTCCGGTACACGGCTGGTTTGGTCTTCTCCTCCGCTCTTCTCGTCTGGTCTTCTTGACACGGGTTTATCACCATTTGTATGGTGATCAGGTGGCTTTCTTGAAGGTGTCCCACCTGAGAGTTTTGTTTTGATGACAGTTTGAAGTTTCCTGGCATTCTTTCCACCATTTTCTCTTTGTAGGTTGTCTTCTATTTCTGATGGGCTTGTCTTAGTTCTTTCTGTCTTAGCTCTTTCAGGACCATCATTTAATGCCTACTACTGTCGCCACCTGAGCCATCCTGGTCTTTGGACAGGGTGCTCTCCTATCTCTCTTCTTGGTTTGTGGTGGCCCCTTCAGTTCAAGATTGTATTTCCAAGGCTCTGTTTCTGTTGGCATTGGCCTCTAGGGGTCGGGTTGATGAGCTCCATGCTTTCCTCCGGTGCAGGGGTTTCTGCTCCTTCAGTCCTGGTAGTTGGTTTGTTCGGTTGCAGCCTTCTCCTTCTTTTCTGGCGAAGAACGAGATGGCTGCTTTCTGGAGGGGTCCTTGGGTTATTGTTGCTTGGTTGGTGAGGCTGGGGGTCATCATGTGTTGTGTTTGGCTATGGCTCTTTGCCGTTACCTGCGCGCCTTGGCTGCTGTGGCCGGAGATGTACTTTGAGTTGATTTGGTTTCCCTCGTTCCCTGTTCCAGGGCTCGGGGTCTCCCAGGTCGTCTGCAGGGTTATTAAGTCTAGCCAGCCTGCGATCTGTCCTCGTGCCCATGACGTTAGGAAGTTTGCTGTGTTGGCTGCCGTGTTTGGCAATATGTCGTGGGCTGATACTTGGGCACGAGGATTTTGGAGGTCGAACAGGTTCCTGGCCGCCTTGTATTTGGTTAGCGTTCCTGGGCCTGGGGTTTCTGTGTTGCTTTGGGTCACAGGTTGCAGCCAGTTGTCTTAACTTCGAGTTGAGGAGTGTGTGGCAGCCGCCTCCTGGGTAAATCCCTCTTTTTACTTATCTTAAGTTATGTACTTCAGGGAGCCGAAGGGGCTTCCCAAAACCAGCGATGAATGTAATGAAACACCAATTTCTGGGTGAACCCCGGAGGCTTCCCGGCAACCCTCCTTCCTCCAGTCGGTGGTTTTCACATTTTGATACTTAGCTTCTGAACTGGAATGGCTAGGTTGCCAGCGCAGGGGTGTGAGGACGAGCGATGTGGCAAGGGAGTGTGACATTTGCTTGTTTCCTTGAAATTGGAGGGAGTTCTGCCTCTGTTCAGTTTTTGGTTGCAATTTTCTTATCATGTGGGGTTTATATTGTTATGCTTACATTTCTGGGTGCCTAACTCCACTCAGTGGCAGATAAGGAAAACCCCCTAACCACAGGGGGGGTCGTTCCAGGGCCATTTCTTCCTGTGTCTCTCTGAAAGGGGCAGATTCTGGCTCGTGGTCCCTGGTAGGCTAAACTCCCATGACTAATGCCCTGGTCTAATGAATTGCATATTAGCCCAATAGCTCCAGGGAGCCTCCAGGGCTCATCCAGAAAATGGCGTTTCATTACATTCAACGCTGGGTTTTTAGTATTTCTGTTGTATAAGATAAAGGTTTATAATTTATACTAACATTTCAGTTATGTGATAGGCAAATTGGCTTATAGAAATCATGAACAGGTTTTACAAATGACCAAGGCAAACTATAACATTGGCAGACATTGAAATATCTGTGGAAGATATTTTTTGCCCACCCACCCTCATGAAGGGAAGTTATTTAAGCAATCTTGGTGGAGATAAGAAAAATCCTGTGGCAATGCTTAGGACATTTTTTCACCTTATCTTATGGTTAGTTGTATATTACAATTTAGGTGTGGCATTCCATTCATTGGTTCTGGGACATTTTCTTGTGAATACAACCATGATAACTTTCTAATGAAATAACATTTTATTTATTAAAAAATGGAACAGTAAGTTGTTAAAAATTTCATATACTGTACATTATTGTACTGGGAATTGAAGTAATTCTTGGGTACACAGTTTAATCAGTTAGTTTGAACTTGAACAGAAGAAATTGTACCTTAATTCATTCCTATTTCCTTTGGCAAGTATATCATTATTGAAGTAGTTCGCAGTCGGCTACACAGTTATTTCTTACCTTTTGGTTGATTATTAATCTTCTTTTTTTCCCCCCTCTAAATTTCTCTCCTAAATTTTTGCATTGTCTTCTTAATCTTTGTGCTTCCTCTCTTAAGTGCCTACTACTGAGCTAAACATTATTTTGACACATTCTGGGTGACAAGTGCTGCTGACTGATCTACAGTGCTTGTATTAAGGCCCATTTGTTGGAAGTAGAAGCCTATTTGAGCACTGATATTTTGTAAAATGGCTTATTGGAAGTATATACAAAGGGAAAGATTATAGCAGTGATAATTTTTAACATCACTCCTAATTTTATAAAGGTTCTTGCATCCTAATACTGCAGTGAATGCTGATTGTTAATTACTGTCATTTGGGTTAAAATTATCATGATAGTGCTATTATAATGTTTTTACATTGCTTTATATAATGTTAATACTTAAATATTTTACATTTAGGGCCCAGATTCACACTATGGGACCAAAGGAGTGCGTAAAGTAGCTGTGGAATGCCCTTCTGGAGATAGGGCAACTTTCCAGTTCACCTACGCTGCTGGCAACAATAATGGTACATCTGTTGAAGATGGACAAATCCCAGAGATCATATTTTATACTTAAATGCATGGTCTATCATTTATTAGGCATAGATCTCATACTTCAAGTTGGTTCGTGTTTCCCAGGTAGTTAGTGGTTTATATGTGCAGTTTTTATAGCAAAAAAAAAAAAAAAAAAATTGGGCTAAATATATTAACTGAAAAAGAAAAATTTTATAAGCTGCTCAGATACTTAAAATCACTAATAAGGAACGTCGTGTAAGAGTATGATTTTTATCAATGCAGCCAGATTGCACTAATACATTTGCTCAAACATACATTATTTATATTTATTTTAAGCTGTAAACAGTCTTTCTTTATGAAAGATGACTTTGGTGGCATTTATTTACTGTTCATGTCAGAATAATGCATTTAGAGTTTTTGGTAGATTGAACTAATATAAAAGTTTTCATAAATGCATATTTTGTAAAGATTATGTCAATCAGTACAGGAATCAGAGGTGCTGTAATTATTCACTATTAGATTAGTTGACCAAGTTGGTAAACAGTTCTATCAGTATTAATGAGTTTATATGAATTTTAAGAATACAAGTATGGTATTTAAAGTATGGTACAATATTAAAATTCTGTGTGTGTACAAACAGTGAAGTAATTTCAAAATTGTGCTCTATAATATAATGTACAGATATACTGTAAATTATTAATATGATTTGAAGCTTAAGAATTGCGCAAAGAATTTCTGCAAATAATTTCCATGGCATGGTGAATGTTGGACTGATATCACTGAGGTGTCAGTAATGGGATATACAGTATTACTAGGAATGATATATTTCATTACAAATTGGTAATTTGTTTCTAATACAGTATTTAAAAATGTGAAATAAATTATAAGAATTAAACATTTGTCTTGGGACAGGGACACACAGGTCTGGACTAAGGATATAGCTGAACTGAACTTTGAGTAAACCAAAGAGATTATATCATCACCACCTAATATGATATGATTAGGTGGATATAATTGACCACCTAATTATATCACCACAAACAATGAAATCTTGGTAAAGAAACGTATAGCTATTCAGCTTGTATGAAAAGGTTAAACTAGTTGCTTATAAGTCTGTTGTAAATTTATACAATGGCACCTCGATTAACGAGTTTAATCTGTTCCGGCACCGAGCTCGTCATGTGGAAAACTCGTCTTGCGAAACAACAACAAAACTGTCGTAAAAGGTGTCCGAGAACCAGCGGAAACACTCGTTAATCGAGGAAAAGCTTGTTGGTAGAGACAAATGTTCAGCGAGTGGCTTGCTCATTACTCGAAATGTTCGTAGATAGAGCCGTTCGTTAATCGAGGTGCCACTATATACCCGTGTTCCTCAATGCAATGGTTATTTGAACTAAATCTTCACAAATAGTAATATTAGGGCTACATATAGATGGAAGTTACCACTTTGCCTGGCCCAACACGCGAGGCCCAGCCTACCTCAAGGTCGGCCTGGTATTTCCGATGAGCGCTCACCCGCATTAAAATGTGTGTACTCTTTTCAGTTTTATCAGCTCAATTTTCATGTTATGTCGTTCATTTTTGAATCAATTTGTTTGCAATAGAATGCTATAACGGGATATATGCATATAAGGGCAAATGGAAAAACATTACCAATACCATAAAAATAAAGTACATAGTCATGTGAAAAGTACGGCTTTTCGTCATTATTTATACTTGTTATTCGTTCCCGACATTATTTGTTGCACTATTTCATTCATTTTTGTCTTACTTCCTTCACATATGTGCTTGTACAACAATATCGTATGTATAAGAAAATGAACATGTCTGTACTTACCACCCAATGATGTTGGTAGAGCATGAGTTGAGCATTAGGTTGAACCACTCCTCCTGCTCCAGTTAAATGTTTCCTGAAGTTTCTCAACCCATGTTGTATAGGTGGAGTGGATGGTGGGTAAGCATTACTGCTTATCCACCCGGTATCTCCTCTTTCGATGGTACAAACTGGAGCATGGTGCAGGACACAGTGCCACACCACACGACTTGCATTTATACCTGGTGGTACCAGACTTGTAGCAGACACGACACTTTAGATCTTTCTCGATGCGAACTAAGGAATGGTTCAAAGTTCTGTTCAGACATTCGGGTTTATCCGCAATACAAGGTCTTCTCCTAGCAGCAGCACCACTAGTTGTCTGAACCTCGTTCAGATGAGTCAGATGATTCTTCATTTCGAGGTGAAGAAGGAAAGAGTGACCGCCTCACACCTGATGGCCCGGGGGGATGCAAACATTATCGCCAGTAGATCTGCTCTCATCCTCATGTACATCACCAGCATGTATAATGTCATTTTGGAGAGGCCAATTCTTATACTCAAAGTTCAACAGTGACTAAACTGTTACTTCGTGAAACTGAAGCAATGAGAGTTTCATTGTACCAGTTGTGTAACTATTCAATCATTCATCCATGATTGTTGGCATGATCGTTGGGCTGGCATTACAGATACTAAACTGCATGCTTTTTAAAAGTGATCTTTCCCCTTGGTCTTCCTCCTACCACCATAATAGGCAATGGCAAATGGCTTTGACTAGGATGCATGTAGGTCTTGCTCACCTAACTCATTGTCACTTAATGGAACAACACCCTGATTCCTTTTGTTCAGACTACATTGTCCCACTTAGTTGTGCACCTCCTTATCGATTACCCTAATTTGGGGGATGTTTGTCTTGGTTTTGTAGTGTCCCTATGAGTTGTTTATCTCATTAGACTCTGTGGCAAGTCTTATACCTTGATATCATTTGTTTTGTGTCCTGTTCTCATATTGGCATCTTAAGTGTCATTTGGCTTATTTTGAAGAACTTGTGACACCGATGGTGCTATATAGTCGTCCCAGTTTTGTGCCTTCTTTAATAATTACTTGTTTGTCCCTTGTTAGAAGCCTTAGTGAATCTGATACCTTTGATATCATTCGCCATATGTCCATTTTTCTTGAATTGGCATCTTGAGTGATATTTAGTGTCCCAGACGGTGCTACATAATCCTCCCGGCTTGGCACCTTTTGATAATTACTTACTTGCCACCTTGTGTTCAGTCCTCTTATTTATTCCAACTACTGTGCAATGCTGAATGTTCATTTGAAAGTTACATTAAGTCACTCTCCTTGGATATCGGCACAGTACAGCGGGACTCTTGATTTTGTGGATCTATGGGTAGACTGGATTGTTTCAACCCAGTTGACTAGGCTGTACTCTGGTACAGCAGCAGAAAGCAGAATTATTTTGATCAACCATGGGAATCTGTTGAGGTGAGCAGCATTGCTTCAAGAATGTGATGCTTGATACAATTAAAAAAGCTCAACAAAATATTTATCAATTAAGTCTTCCAAGTAATTTTGGTATCAAACTATGAACAAAATTGGTAAACTAATTACAACATGATAATTGTGGAAAAAATGGGTTAAAATAGCAAAGATCGGAATTGTTATAGAAAAAAATGGTGTAGGTTAAAATCTCAAGTGTAATTCCATCTTTCATCATTATTCCATATTTAATTTTTAATAATTTTTAAATAAATTCTTCTTCTCAGATATTAAGGTTGTCTTGGTACTCAAATGTGTTAATTCATAAACCAAAATTCTTAATAATTAAATAATTGTTCATATTTTTTTATTCTTCATTGTTAACTCGAAATCCCACATAGACTTAATTTATGAATGTATGAATGGAAATGCTTTGGAAGAATTGCAATAAAGTGGTGTGGAAATGTTACTTTACATAATGACTATAATGTTAAAAGTATTTACCTTGTTTTAAGCTTATTCCTAGTAACACAAGGCAATGGGAAGGATGGTACATTTGCCATAGGGAATGTTCTGTTTCAGATATTAGGTATTGCATGTCAAACTACATAGGTTTAAATCTAGGAATAATTACACTATTTTCCTAATATGATTCAAGATTGTAGAAAAATATACCAGAAAAAAAGTTAACATAGTGTGTAATATTTTAATTTATTAGAAGTTTTCCAAATTCCAGAGCATTTTTATTTAAATTTTTTTATTACTTTTCATATGCCAATTATCATTTATTATTATGGTCGACAGTGTTGAGTCGAGTCTCGTGGCCCTTGAATCCTTAACGCCTTGTCCAGTTGTGATCGAGTTCGGACACTGATCTGTACAGTCGAGTTTTGCAGGGATCCCATTCATATTTGTTTTGTCTCTAGTAATGTTGTAAATGCTGCTGTTAAAGAAGTTGCTTATTCATGTCTTATTTCTTAGAAATGAGTTCCTTATAATTTAACCATAATGCAATCCACAACAATTAAGAATTGATGGTTTGCTATTCCGAATAACAAATTACATACTGTAAGGTGTAACCATTTTTCGTAGCCTTCCTCCTGTTACTGAAACAGGAAAGAGAAAAAGTCTTCGGCTAGGTCACGTATTGTCCTCACATGATGGATGGATGGATGGAACTCAATATGACGGAACAGAGACCTGCACCTTATTGTCAGAACTGCATTGTTCCATTCCATTAATGGACATGCACCTCATCAAATGTTCCAATTTTCAGGACAACTGAAAATTTTGGTTTCCCCATTTCCTTTGAGTCATAAGTCTTTTGTTAAAATTCATGATGAATCCGATTCTTTTGACATTACTGTACCTGTCTTGTGTCTTTTGGCTCTCATATTGGCATCTTGAATGATATACTATATGTAGGAACTCTTGAAATATTCTGTAACAGAGTGCACTATCAAGTAAAGATGATGAATGAGTCATAGATGACTTTTTTGGGGAGGGGGAGGGTGTTTTAGAATATTTTCATTATAGAACTAAGGTATAATGACTGGAGGCAATTACATCTCAAAGATTATAAAAAAAATTAAATTAGTATGGAGCTAAAGGTAAGGCTTTGTTCGATGCTGAAGAATAAATGTACATTGTCAGAGACTTTGGAAAAATACTGCATATTGTAAAAAAAATGATGCGCTTGAAGAAAAGAATTGGATTAACATTTCAACACTCTTAAAATTACTTTATATTTGATGGGAGAATATATAAATGTAAGTTATTTATAGATAGTAAAGATAATATAGAATAAAGGAGTGATTTAAAATTGTTGGAGGTTTGAAGAAAAGAAGAGAGGGGAGGTTTGGTATTAAGAAAATGAAAGAATGAATATTAGGATAAAGAAAGTACTTTTCACAGATATAGGGAGGTGAAAAGTAGGGAGACAGGTGGATGAGATTGTAAGGGAACATCAGAGCAATGAAACTCGAGATAAATGAATGATTTTTCAACTAACTAGAAACTAGTTAGAGAAATTATAATGAATACCAAGACTTGGGCCTAAATGTGTTGGTGTCAATTATTTGAGAATAATCCCTGCAAACATTTTTTAGTTTTGATATTAATGCTTTTTAAGTTACAACACTATAAACGTTGTAGCAACATAAAGTAACACTGTAGCTACATTGTGTGTTTACTGGGACAAATATAAGTGTAATACTGTATGGTATGTACAGTATATATATATGTATGAATGTATATATATAATATTTATACATACATACTGTATATGCAACAGTGATCACAAAAACACTGATCCAAGTATGCAGAAAAAGCACATGTGAAAAAGAGACTGCTAAACGCATTTTCGGCTTAATTTGCCTTCATAAGAGCATTTTAGAATGAAGAAGGAAACGTGGACGGCAACCTTGTATCCGCCAAGGTAGGTCACCTGACCACCAAGAACATAAGAATAAAGGCCAATTGACCTATATACAAGAATAAGAAAGGGGATCCCTACGGATAAAAGGGGACAAAAAAAAAGAGGTTAAATGTATGCTATATTGTATTGATATGCTATGTTGACACTTATATGGGGATCTAATTTGTACATGCTAGGGCTTACATTAAGGCTGTTACAGTGTTTGATCAGAGCAGACTCGATCACATTTCATTCAACGAAACCCTTACTTTTAACAATACATCTCACCCCTGTGAAGTTGATAGAATTATCACATAAACTGGAATGTAAATACAATGAACTGGAGTGCTGGGCTGTACGAATAGCATATGAATGTTGTTTTAAACGTGAGGAAAGAGTTTTACCAGTCTCGTCAATATAAACACGTGTACAATCATTGCAAGGGATGAAGTAGACACAACCTGCTACAGACGATGGCGAGTTCTTAATTAACATGGGCTCAACTGTGTTATTATTTTTGAACACTGGGTTAATTTTAAGGTTTTTCAGGGCTGGGGCAAGATTTACTAGTCCATCAAAATATGGTAATACCAACAAGTTTTTTATTTCTGGCTTAGACTTGGGAACTTGTTTGTAGAACGTCCTTTTTGCTTGAAGAACAACATTCATATGCTATTCGTACAGCCCAGCACTCCAGTGCATTGTATTTACATTCCAGTTTATGTGATCATTCTATCGACTTCAGAGGTGACGAAATGTACAGTATTGTTAAAAGTAAGGGTTTCGTTGAATGAAATGTGACGGGTCCGCTCTGATCAAACAATGTAACGACAGCCTCAATGTAAGCCCTAGCATGTACAAATTAGATCCCCCATATAAGCTTCAGTATAGCACATCAATACAATATAGCATCCATTTAACCCCTTTTCCGTCTCCCTTTTAAGCATAGGGATCCCCTTTCTTATTCTTGTATATAGGTCAATTGGCCTTTATTCTTATGTTCTTGGTGGTCAGGTGACCTACCCTGGCAGATATAAGTTTGTCATCCACGTTTCCTTCTTCATTCTAAAATGCTCTGATGAAGGCGAATTGAGCCGAAAATGTGTTTAGCATTCTTTATTTTTCACATGTGCTTTTTCCGCACATACATACATACATACATACATACATACATACATATATTTATATATACATATATATATTTACGTACATATAATGTCGTACCTAATAGCCAGAATGCACTACTCGGACTAGTATGCAAGGCTCGATTTGCCTAATAGGCACAACGATTTTCATCATTTAAAATTTGCTTTCTATGGGTTTATTTGAAATACTGTAATATTATTATATTAGTTTAGGTTAGGTGGGTTAGGTTTGGTAATATTTGTTAGTTTTAACTAAAATTACAAAAGAAAATTAAGATCACATGTAATGTAATACAAAGCATATATCATTTCAAAAGAATAAATAGAAAATATATAACTATAAAAACTTGTCTTATTAGGCAAATTGTTCCTTGCATAGTAGGTCAAGTAGTGCATTCCAATTATTAGGTACAACATTATATTATATATATATATATATATATATATATATATATATATATATATATATATATATATCACAAAACACTGATCATTTTATATATATATAGGTACGTTTCGGCTTTGTTAAAGCCTTTGTCAACACCAGACTGACTAATATATATATATATATATATATATATATATATATATATATATATATATATATATATATATATATATATATGTCGTACCTAGTACTTCTCATACTATGCAAGTCCCGATTTGCCTAATAAGCCAAGTTTTCATGAATAACCTACATACACCTACTTTTTCTACTACCTACCTACTATAAAGATAGGTTAGGTTAGGTTAGGTAGGGTTGGTTAGGTTTGGTCAAATATACGTTAATTTTAACTCCATAAAAAAAATGACACACACACATAAAAGTGCGTTCTGGCTACACACACACACACACACACACACACACACACACACACACACACACACACGCACACGCACACACACATAGTATAATATGCAGTACTGTATATATATTTTTATATATGTTTAAAATATTTTACACAGTAATGATTTTTGCATCTTTCCAGCTTAGAAAAGTAATCTTGAGCAAATCTTTCTTTGTTAATTAAAGAATGAGTGTTGGAATAACTTTTTCTCCAGGTTTTATCATGATCAATTAAAGAGTAAAGAAAAGATACTCAGAAAAGATATTGGATACAAGCATGGTGTCAGCAGGGTGACTGTGCAGGATAAGGTTCTTTAAAGAGACAAACCCAACATTCTTGATATGGTTTGTCAAGAATAATGTATTATGGTACTATTGTAGGTTTATTTGGAACAAGGTTGATTAATAATATTGTGCAAATGATTTTAAGTTATGTATTTTGAAGAGAACAAGTACATGGGGGATTAAATAACTTTCCATAGATTAAGAATTAGGTTGGTAGAATTTTGTGAAATAAAAAATCAAATTTGTATGTAAATGTATAATTTGAGTACTGTATATGTGTAAAAAGATGTATTTTAGAGTATGATAACCTAAGTAATTTTATATAGTTTTGAATTTTTTATGGTGCAGGAGAATATTTGACTACCAAATGAAGCTGTAAATATGAATGTAAGCATGATAAATATGAGACGTTTCCTTAACATCTGTAGAAGAGCTAGTATGTATGTATGATCCAAGCCTAACTGGTCCTCTATGTTAATTATATTCTTGGGGAACTTAGTCTTATGAATGTTCATATGTTAGTCATATCTGACAACATCCTTAGACTATTCAATGCATTGTAACACCTTGTGAATGTGCTGCAACCAATTGCTTTGGAGAATCTAAAATTTGATGAAAAATGTAGTGGAACCTCAGTTGATGACTCACTCTCTACGAATTTTTTGGGTTACGAGCTCAATTTATTCGTAAAATTTGACTCGGTTGACAACCTTTACTTGGTGACTTTGTTGATACATGTATGGGCTGACTTAGCGCATGGTGCGCAGTCAAAGTTTACCAGTGTCTCCCGCCTAGTGATAACTGCACTTTAATTCTTTGTAAAGAATTTAAATTTTTTATTTTTTTTTTGCTTTTATTGGTTTCTGAACATAAAAGTTATTATATATCATGCCATGGGTCTCTGAAAGTGTTTCAGAGGCCATCATTTGTGAAAAAGCAAGACTATTGCATGAAGGTCTTATAAAGAAAACCCCCCCAATCCCTCCTAGAACAAGTGATGCAGATATGAAAGCATTTAAAGTGAGCAGGGGATGGTTTGAGAAATTTAGAAAATTAATTGGTATTCATATTGATGTGAGGCATGGGGAAAAACAAATGTCTATAGACAGAGTCTTAGACAAGCAAGCAGTAAGCCACAACCAGGTCCAAGAGGTATGCCTGCAAAATGTAGGAGTGTGCGTACCCCAGAAATGTCATTACTGCCTAATGTTATAATGGAAGGGGACTCCTCTTCCAAACACTAACACCTCTCCTCCTCCTCACCGTCTTCCATACGCCAACAAGAGTCATCAATAAAGGTAAGATGCAACTTGTACAAAATATTTGTAGTATTATGTATGAAATGTATTTTGAAGTTAATATTTTTGGGAGTGTGGAACGGGTTATTCACTTTACATCTTTTCTTATGGGAAAATTTGTTTCGGTTTACGAATTTTACGTTTACAACCCGTCTCTGGGAACAGATTAAATTAGAAAACGAAGGTACCAATTGTCCAATTATATAACCAATAGAAGACATTTATAGATTTTTAAGCAATGTTTGGCATTTTGCCACTCAAGTAAAAGTTTGGTATGAAAATGTGTGGGCTGGCAAGGTTGTTTGTCAAGTACAGCAGGCATATTTGTGCTCTGTATTAAGCTGGTTGCTCTCCTCGGAGAGGTAAGACTGGGAGATGGTCTTACAGTAATTATGTTAGCTTTAGACGGTAATTTTTTGTTTATAAGTATGTTTATATAATATTTGCATTTATCTTGGCTGTAGTACAGTATTTGGTTGTGCATTTATCTTGCAGAGATACAAGATTTTATTTTCAATAGTACAGGTATTCATTTATTCAACCAAGTGATGTTTATACATGTTTCTGAACAAATTGTACTAAATTAATGTCATATATTGGTAAGTATTTGGGTTGTTTATGTAGTCTTAGTGCTCAATTTGTGTCAATTGTTTACACCCTGTTTGTGATTTTATCCAACTAGTCCTGTTGGTTAGCTTTCAAAGCCTAAGAATTATGTGATTTTATTCAATAGATCATTTGTTTGCATTT